CTTCGGGCCGGGGAGATGGCTTAGAAGAATAAGCGCTTCCCTGGCAAGCATGACAGTCTGAGTTCAATCCCCGGTTCCACCAAAAAAAAAAAAAAAAGATGTCATATGGTAGTGATACACACATACCTGTGTTTATAGTAGTGTAACTCATAGGAGTTAAACACTGGAGTAGCCTGTAGTGTCCGCAGATGAATATACATAAAGTGCAGTGTTTATGGAGAGAGGAGTGCAACTCTGCCATAAGTAATCATACATGATTCGCATGTAGGAAATAGATGTGTCTTGAGACCATAACGTTAAACTGAGTAATCAGACACACATGCCTGAAATCTCATGGTTCCTCTTTTTTTTTTTTTTTTTGCGGAACTAGGGATCGAACTCAGGCAGGCTCTTGCGGTTGCCAGGCAAGCGCTTATTCTACTGAGCTATCTCCCCAGCCTCCTCATGGTTTCTCTTATGTGAGAAACACAAAGTATAAGTGAGGAGCAAGATGAAAGATGGTAAGAGGAAGGAGGGAGAGTTCTCTCAAAAAGGAAAGAGACAGATGGGAGGAGGGAAAGATAACTGAGATGTATTGTGTGCAGGCGCCAGCCCCGCGAGGAACGTGCACGTTACGTGCTACAGGTGTGGACTCATGCGTGCAGGTTGCAAGACGAGTCAGAGCCTTTGCAGGGAGTGGGCACGTGCTCTGCCCCTGGAGAACTGGACAATGGAGATGGCTTGGAAAGCTTGGCAGAGCACGGCTGTGGAAGCGCAGCGTGAAGGCCTGGCTGTGCGCCCATGGGCTGCGCAGGGCCTCTGCCAGCGTCCTGCGCTCTGGCACTGGTCGCATGTGCAGTCAGGTTTCTTCTGTTGCAGAAGTGACTACGGTGACGGTAGCCAACATGGGGGCCTCTGCAGACAATGTCTTCACGACATCAGTGGCAAATGCTGCATCCATTTCAGGACATGTCCTGGTAAGCAGCTGGTGGGGTGGGTAGTACTGTGCTTATTGCCTGGGCAGGGGCTCCTGCTCTTGGGCTCTCCTGTGCCCTTATGTGTTCTGGTGTGGAGCCTCTCCCAGTTCCATCTCCCTGGCCTCTTTGCACAGGGAGTGGTGAGAGCCAAGCACGGTTTGTTAGGAGCCTGGTGACCCTGTGGCTGGGCAGGGGTGGGAGAGGATGCACCACTCCACACATTTGTGCTGCAGCTGGCCTCAGGCCTGGGTTGGGCCTTCCTCCATTCAGCTCTGTTTTAAGCCTCCTAGGACGTCTCTGGAGTGGATGTGGGATGACCGTGTCACGTCCCCTAATTGGTGGCAGATGGTGACAGCCTTTGTAGGCCATGTCCTGCCGAGGTAGGTGACTTGCCTGTAGCTGTCTAACGGCTGACTCCATGGGTGTGTCCTCGCCCTTAGTCTGGCAGAACTGCACTACAGATCGGGGACAGCCTCAACACTGAGAAGGCCACGCTGATTGTTGTGCACACAGATGGGAGCATTGTGGAGACCACTGGCCTGAAGGGTCCAGCGGCCCCTCTCACCCCAGGTACCTGTGCCCCACTTCACAGCCCCCTACAGTCATTTGAGGCAAATTTGGAATGTCCCATAGCATATCTGAGTGGAAAAGGCAGAATTATCCAGCTAGGAAAGGGTGCTGTCCAGAAGTGAAGTGCTGGCCTTGCAGAGCTTAACCTCACAGTCCTTCTCTGCCCCAGGTCCACAGTCTCCTCCGACCCCATTGGCTCCTGGCCAGGAAAAAGGAGCCACCAAGTACAACTGGGACCCATCGGTGTATGATAGCGAGTTGCCTGTGCGCTGCCGGAACATCAGTGGCACACTTTATAAAAGCAGGCTGGGCTCAGGTAAGGGCACACTTCCTGTCTTGGGTGACCCTGTCAGGAAGCTGGGGCCAGAGCCATGTACTATGTAGCACTTATGATCAAGGCCCAGGCCACTGAGGGCATAAGGAGGGTCAGGTTTTTGCAAGTTGTGTTCAGGGAGGACAGGGATGAGCCCACTGCCCATGTGGCCTGGTCAGCGCACAGCTTGGCCCTGGGCAGATGCTCTGGGACGTGACAGAGCTTGCATTGACCATAGGCCAGAGTGGAGGGGTCAGATGGGCGGTCCAGACACAGCCAGAGAGGAAATTTGGGTGGAGATTTGCCCTGGGCAGCCTCGAGGGTGACCGTGTGACCACAGGGTAGGCAGGAGATAGTGTGAGTCGGACTTGCAGGGCACGTGCAGCGTGGTGACGGTCACCTTTGCCTCAGGGGGCCGGGGGCGCTGTATTAAGCAGGGGGAGAACTGGTATAGCCCAACAGAGTTTGAAGCCATGGCGGGAAGAGCCAGCAGCAAGGACTGGAAGAGAAGCATCCGATACGCTGGCCGGCCGCTGCAGTGCCTCATCCAGGTATGCATCATGTGGGGCTGCATGGGAGGGCCTGTTGTGGGGACCAGAGCCGGGGCTGGGCCCAGTGGCAGGAGGAGCATGGCCTGGGCTGCTGGGGCCTAGCTCTGCTTGCTGTGTCACTGGCCATAGCACCTGAACCCTTAGCTTTCCATGGGATGACATTGGTGCTGCCTGCAGGTCATAGCATACACTAGAGGTGTGGTGAGCACCGGGAGCATTTGACGCAGGAGGAGCACAAGCTGAAGTCAGGTACAGTGCCCCTGGCCTCTGAGAAGCTGAAGCAGGAGAATGGAAAGTTCAAGTCCAGCCTTGGCAGTTTAGCAACTTAGATCTGGTCCCCAAATAAAAAGTGAAAAGAGGGGCCGGGAAATGGCTCAGTAGAATGAGCGCTTGCCTGGCAAGCGAAGGGCCTGAGTTCAATCCTGGGTTCCGCACACAAAAAAAGTAAAAGTCCTGGAGATGTAGTTTAATCTTTGGTATCACTAAAAAGATAAAAGGAATTCAAGAGCAAGTCAGGGCGCTAACTCCCAGCACCTGTCGCATCCGCTGCTGCTTCCAGAATGAAGGGGCCTGAGCTAAACCTGGCTGAGGAACACCATCCTAGAGCCTTTCCTACCACCGCCAGTCATGGCACTGTGCGGTGCAGTTTCTAGGGAGCGACTCTTGTCCTTTGTGAGTGGTGGGGAGGTACCAGGCCTTAGTGGGCTCAGGTTGGGTGGCATGTGCTCAGCTGGCTGACTTTGCAGTGCTTTCTGTCTTATAGGATGGGATCTTGAACCCCCATGCAGCCTCTTGCACCTGCGCGGCCTGCTGTGATGACATGACCTTGGTGAGTCCTGGGCACACATGGCCTGGCCCACTCACCTCTTCCCATAAGCCTTTGGTCTGGGTGGACACCAGGTACTTCCTTCTGTGCCCTCCTGCTCCCACTGCCTGGGCAGGGTGGCCCAGGAAGGTCACAGAAAGGGCTCTGTCATGCAGAGAGCTCTGTGCTGCTCCCATGGCAGCCCAGGCGACAACTTATACCCTTTAAATGATCATAAGTATGTGTGCCATTCCACATCTGCACTTCTGATGTTATGAGTCCTACTTTTCCCTTGCTGAGTCACAATGTCTAACACTCAAAACCGTAAGGAGGAAAGATCATGCCCAGTTGCAGGGGCTTAGTTCCATAACTGGCTGCAAGGCAGGGTGGCATAACAGCAGGAGGAGGGCGGTAGGCCTCTTGCCCACGCCTTCCGTCCCCGTCCTCAGCCAGGCTTCACCTCCCAACATCACATTAGCTATGAGCTCATCAGTGGACTTATCCATCTCCTAAAAGCCCACCTATGAGTATGTGAGGTTTTAGGGGACATCTGTGTCTAAACTTTGGTGCTGTGTCATAACAGTACAAGCTCACCGTACTTGTGGGTAGAGCTGTTAACATCCTTAGAACATCTCCTTGTCCCACACACTTGTCTGCTGCAGAAGAGAACAAGAGCTTGGTTGGTTGGTTGGTTATTTATTTATTTATTTATTTTGTGGTACCCGATATTGAACTTGGGACCTTGCACATGCCAGGCAGGCACTTATGCTGCTGAGCTGTTTCCCTGACCCTAAGTTTGTTTGTTTGTTTTAGAGTCTTGCTACACAGTTAAGACTCATAGTGATCCTAGCCTCCCCAGCTCTGGGATTACAGGTGTGCCCCATCATATCTAGTTTCAGGGCTGGCATGGGCCACCTGAGGTTCTGGGGTGGACATGGCATACAGTACCAGGGATTGAACTCAGGTCCTTGCGCTGGCCAGGCAGGCGCTCAGACCATGAGCTATCTCCCCAGGCCTTTTGTTGTTTGGGTTTTTTTGCAGAACCGGGGATTGAATGCAGGCCCTTGCACTTTCCAGGGAAGTGCTTATTCCACTGAGCCATCTCCCCAGCCCTCCTTTGTTTTTTATATCTGTTGCTTTGTGGCTTTCAAAAGTGTGCTGTAACTTGTAAATGTGACCTTACTAGCTTCACTTTAGGGTTCTTCACGATTAATATATACTATTTTAAAACATCTTCAGTGAGGTGTGGTGGTTTATGCCTGTAATCCAGAGCTTGGGAGGCTGAGGCAGGAGGATTGTTGGGAATCCAAGACCAACCTGGACTACAAAGTGAGCTTAAGGCCAGTCTGAACTGCATAGTGAGACCCTGTCACAATGAGACCAAAAATTAATCAGTCATCTTGAAAGTAATTTAAAGCCAGGACCAAATGCATATGTTTATCATCCTAGTACCTGAGAGACTGAAACAGGCAGATTACAAGTTCAAGCAAGTGAACAACTGAGTGAGACCTTGTCTCAAAAAATAAAAAGGAGGGCCAGCCTGGTAGCTCAGCAGACTGAAGTGCCTGCTTATGGGGATCTGGCTCAGCAGTAGAATGCTTGCCAGCAAGCTGGAAGCCCTGGGTTCTGTCCTCGGCACCAAAAACAGAGACAAAAAAGCGTCTGCTTAGACAGAGCGCAGTGGCCAGCATTCAATCCCTAGTGTGCAGTGCTAACCCCGCCCACAGGGTTCGCTGAAACACAAAGTGGAGACTGGGCGTGGTGGCCCACACCTGTAATCCCATCACTTGGGAGGCTGCAAACAGGAGAATCGCTATGAGTCTGATCTACGCAGTGAGACCCTACAGACCGTGTCCTAAATACAGAAAAATAAATAAATAAATAAATAAATAAATAAATAGGATAGGATAGGATAGGATAGGATAGGATAGGATAGGGTAGGGTAGGGTAGGCCGGGGGGATAGCTTAGTGGCATAAGTGCCTGCCTGGCAAGTGAAAGGACCTGAGTTTGATCCCTGCTACCTAAGTAAAATAAAGTGGTTGGGAATATAGGTCATTGTCTCCCCTGGACTCAGTGTCCCCCAAAGAAAAAAATAAAATGTAATTGGAAGACATATTATACCTTGTTGCAAAACAACAAATATTTTGAGTTGTCTAGTTTATGTGTAAATTTTATGTGAATGTGCTGGGAAAAATAACTTCATGAAAATAAAATGATTTTAGAGTTCATTTGGAAAAGCTAATAGAAGAACCGGTGTGCTGGTACCTGTCTGTAACCTCAATATCATGAGGCTGAGGCAGGAGGATCACTGTCAGTTTGAGGCCAGCCTGAACTATATAGTGAAACCCAGTCTCAAAAAGACCAATCAACAAGATTAAAAAAAGAAAAAAGCCTAGTAGACGAAACCAGGGCTCTTGGGTGGTGAGAAGCACTGAGGAGTAAGGGGCATTTGGGCATACATGGCACAGTCCTCTGCAGTTGCCCTGAGCTGTGGAAACTCAGCTGTAAAAAACTCCACAGACTGAGAGTTCCATCATCTTCCCAGTCTCATTGTAGCCTTAACAAAATTACTATCAAGATCCTAGAAGTTAAAAGACATCCATCAGGGGCAGGAAGATACCTCAGCGGTCTAAAGTGCCTGCTTAGGCAAGTGCACAGGGACGGTGGTTCAATCCCCAGCACCATGTGCTGTGCCAGCCCCGCGACCAGGTGGGCTGAGCTGGCCACAAAAATACAAAAGTAAGCAAACAAATAAATAAATAAATGACACCCACCAGAATTCTTACAGATATCAACAAGCTGATCCTGTAATTTACATGGAGAGGCAAAGGGAATAAAACAGTCTACACGCAGAAGCAGTGTCCTGTGGGGCTAAGATATCCTGTGTGGTCACTGGTGTGTGTAGGGTCACCGCAAACGTGCTGGGTCCCACGTTGGGACCATCAGACGTCACAGGCAAGGGTGAGCTTTGGCCCAGGGGCTCTCAGCCAAGCCACTGCAAGGGCCAAGTCCAGTATGACCAGAGTGCTGTCAGGGGTGCTCAGGTTTTATGGGGTCAGGAGGACTGCCATAGGGACCGAGAGCTCCAGAGTCCTCTGCCAGGAGCTGACCAAGGCCAGTAGGCTCAGACAAGAGGGGCGGGCCTGTCCCGGATGGGAGCCGACCTCGACTTTGGCTTCGGCCATCTCTGTGCAGAGTCCTTGGCTAACTCCCCTGAAGGGGGACTGTAAGGCCCCAGGGCTGCTTGAGAGTGCTGGAGCCTGGCTTCACTGACAGAGGGACAGAGGCCGAGACAGCCCCTAGCCTGCGCCCTGCAGGGCAGGACTTAAGAAGTCAGCGGGGCCCAGTACCACAGGAGACTGTGCCCACGGCTGCTGCCACGTGTCCCCTGGTGTGTCTAGTTCTCAGCAGAGAGGCAGGCAGGTGTGGGCAGGTGCAGCCTGACCAGGATGGGGACAAGCAGGCCAGCACCCTGGAGAGAAATGGAGGAGCTGCTGGAAGAGAGGCAGGTTGGCCAGTGATGCATGTGGAGAGAATATCAGTAAGGAGACCTTAGGAAGAAAGAAAGGAGCTGGGCGTGCTGAAGCACACCTGTAATCCAAACTACTCAGGAGGTTGAGGCAAGAAGATCCCAACTTTGAGGTCAGCTTGGGCTACCTAAAGAGACTGTGTCTGAAGCATTGGCCTGTGTCTCCCCTGCATAGTGCTGGCTAGGGGGGATCGTAGAGTCCCTTACTTGGGAAAGGGCCATCTCGGGGTGGTTGGTGATGTATGCCCTCCAGGAGACCCTGTAGGGAGATCCCTGTGAACCTGGACATTTCTCTTTGCTGTTGCTGGCCTGGTTGGGTTCTTTCCTTTTTGTCTGGGTCCCAGTGTCACTTCCTGAGCCCAGGGCTTACTGACAAGAGTTTGCCATGTCTCCTTGCCAGCAGCGGTTTTCCTTGTCCCCCTCCACTTGCTCGTGCTTACTTTCCTGTAGGAATCTTTGGGATGCCAGCTCCCCCCAGTGCTGCTTGCTGTGGAGGTGTTGGCACGGTTTCTGCTCCTGTGGAGGGCGTAGACGCAGCTTCCTCCTGGCCATGCTGAAAGCCCCCTCTACTCTGTGGCCCAGCCTTGGGCTTGGCCTCCTTTCTGCCCCCAAGTTCTGTGCGCCTCAACTCTGCTCCTCCCACCCCCCACAGAGCGGCCCTGTCCGACTCTTTGTGCCCTACAAGAGACGAAAGAAGGAGAACGAGCTGCCTACACCGCCGCTAAAGAAGGACTCTCCCAAGAACATCACGCTTCTCCCGGCCACCGCTGCCACCACGTGTGAGTTGAGGGGTCTGGTGTGCTCTCTGCCTGCCCCAGCATGGGGCCTCACTGGCGTGGGGCCTTGATCCCCGTGCTGCCATCCCATCTTGGCGTTGAGGATGGCCAGCACACACCGTCCCTGTCCTGGCTGCTCTTCCTGTGCTGGGTACTCTCTGGCCCCGCTCTCTGGTTCCCACAGCTGAGCATGGTGCCAGGAGAGGGGTGCCCTGTACCACTATTTTCTGGGCCGCTGGTGCATATCTGGTGAGGACTGTGCGGGCCACTGTCACCAGAGGCTTACCTGTCAGGCAGTCACTGGGGTTGATACCTCCCAAATGAAGGCTTTAGTTTTAGTTTTAGGTTTTTTCCTCCTGGCCCTGGGGATCCAGCCCTTTGTAGTTCATTTTGAGACTGACTCTTGCTGGGTTTCCCAGTCTGTGCTTGAATTTTCCATCCTCCTGCCTCAGCCTCTTGAGTAGCTGGGAATACAAGTGTGAGTTACTATGTTTGATGGCTCTAGTGGCTTTCATTGTGCTGTCCTGCTGTGTGCACCCTGCGATTTGGCTAGCCTCTCCTGATGCCTGTCTGAGCTGTTGCCCACAGGACAGTGTGACCGGGGCAGGACTCACAGATGTGTGCTGAGAAACATGGCCACTTTTGTCCTCAGAGTGGAAGAAAGGTTTTTTCCTTTAGACTACAAAGCCTTTTCCAGATTGTCTTCCACCTCTGTTTCCTGGTTGGTCACAGCCCAACTCCACAGCATGTCTCTGTCCCTGCAGGCCTGGGGCCCCTGGTCTTACCACACCCCGCACACTGCCTACTTTGGCCAGGCCCTGGGTCTGCCTGACACCTGTGTCTGCCTGGCTTGCATGACTTGTGCTCTGCCTTTGCAGTCACTGTGACACCCTCGGGGCAGATCACCACATCTGGGGCACTGACCTTTGACCGCACATCCACTGTGGAGGCCACTGCTGTCATCTCAGAGAGCCCAGCCCAGGGCGATGTCTTTACAGGAGCCACAGGTAAATGTCTCTAGAGATAGTCCCTGCTCCTATTCCATGTCCCTACAGCCCAGTGTCTCCTCTGTTCAAAGGGAGTCCGGCAGGCAGGCGGCATGGGACTTGGGGGTGCATGACTGTGGATACTCTGGAAGGGTGGTGAGGGTGACGCACCCTGTACTTCGTCCCTCTGAGCGCGTCCTGCAGCCAGCACAGCCCAGATCTCAGTGGAGTCTGAGACTGCAGTACCACAGCTGCTGCCCTGTGCCTCACTCACAGTGCAGGAGGCTGGTGTGCAGCCGCCCTGCCGGGTTGGCCACCCTGAGCCCCACTACCCTGGATACCAGGACAGCTGCCAGATCGCACCCTTCCCCGAGGCTGCACTGCCAACATCACACCCCAAGATAGGTGAGTCTGGCGCAGGTCCTTGTTCCCAAAGTGCTGTGGTTTTTGCTTTGCTGGGGATGGAACCACAGTGGCTCGTGTTCCAGGTATTCATCCTACGCCTGAGTGACACCTCAGCCCAGAGCTGCTTGTCAGGAGATTTCCCAGTGTGGAGAGTTCGTGGATGTGAAGCATGAGGGGGGCCGGCAGGGTCACTGGATGAAGCTTCTCTACCCCCACCCCTCCATGTGTGTTGCTTTGTTTGTGCATGGGCCATTTGCCATGTAGATGGCAGTGTCCAGTCCAGAGCAGTCGCAGGCCTTGAAAGAGGGTGTGTGAGGATAGATCCTGCCACTCCTGCGCTACAATGGCGATGCTGAGGGCAGAGGGACTCAGTTTATGCCCTTGTAGCTCAGAGTGCAGCACTGACCCTTTCCATGACTTGCACTCGGCTCGGTGCTTTGGACCCATTTCTGTTCTGCACCTTGAGGGTGCACACACCCGCGAACATACACATCACTTTCCTGAGTTTGAAAAACAGGTCACCTCCCCTTCCCAGCCCAGACTTTGCCCCCTCAGGCTCCACCCACATTGTACCTACTCTAGGCGCCTGTTGGCCCCCCTTGGCTGGCACAGCTGTCCTCACAGCTCTGCTTATTATGGGACCCAGTTCCCCCAGGCCACTGAGAGCACTGGGACACCCGGGGTACTCTGGTTGCTTCTGGCAGTGGAGGTATCTACCCTGTTTGTCCCCAAGGCTGGATGGGGTTGGGGTTCTCAGTACCAGTGAGCAGTCCTTAGTCGTGAACTTGGTGCCCTACCAATTTGGTCTTCCTGCCCCTCTGACTTGTTTTGGAGAGCTGTCCTACAGGATGTCCCCCTCTGCCGTGTGCCTCAGTCAGAGATGCTGAACATGGGGCAGGGCTGGTGAGAGCTTTGGGTGCCTCAGCTCTTGTCCCATGGCTGTAGAAGGTGACCTGGGCTCTGGCTGAGGACTGAGTGCCTGTCTCCCGCTGTAGCCAGAAGTGGCCATTAGGTCCCAAAGTCTCGGTCGGAGCTGCCCCTTCCCATTGTGAAGATTTCCTGTGTCAGTCAGTGGGTGCTGACCACTGTCATCGATGCTGGAGGTGCCACAGACTTGACCAGTAAAGTCCCTGAACATGGCTGGGCTCTACCTGCCCTCATGAATACATCCCTGCCCTGTGGCCCAGCCAAGTGAGGTCTCCTGGGCCTCCAGAAGCCCGGCCTCTTAGCAGCAACAGGTGCTTCGGGCCCTGGGTCCCAGCTCTCATGCTGCCTCATATTCATGCTGTCTCATATCTCCTCCAGGCCGTTTCCTGCCCACAGTGAGTGCCAGAGAATGTCTTCCAAGGGCTGGAGATCAGCGTTCCAGTGCATTCTGGGTACAGAGCTGTGCCTGCCTCCTACAGGTGGCGCATATGTGCTCACTGCACGCGAGCCCACCACTGTTCCATTGCTTGCAGGTCTCCTTATGTGTGTACCCTGCTTCTCCAGCATTGGGAATTCAATATGATGCTGGGCATAGACATGAGGGAGTCCAGGCTAGTTAGGGCAGCACCAGGCTGTGACCTAGTGCCCAGGCTCAGGGAGCTGGTGTAGAGAAGGTTCCCTGACCACCAGTGTCCCTCCCTAGTGCTCACATCCCTGCCTGCCCTGGCCGTCCCGCCCTCCACCCCCACCAAGCCTATCTCCCCGGCATCTCTTGGTGGGCTGGAGATGACAGAGCCTCGGAGCTGGCTCTACCTGGAAGACATGGTGAACAATTTGCTCAACACGGCGCAGCAGCTGAAGACACTGTTTGAACAGGCCAAGCAGGCCAGCACCTGCCGTGAGGCTGCTGTGACACAGGCCAGGATGCAGGCTGATGCAGAGCGGAAAGAGGTAAGGTGGGCGCAAGTCCCAAGGTTCGCTGCTTGTGTCTGGGGCGTTGTTGCCAGCAAGGAATCCCCACAAGAGAGATGCCTGCTATTGACCCCGTACTGGGGAGTGCATTCAGGGCCTCACACATCAGACAGGTGCCCAGCCGTGACTGCAGCCAGTGTCTCTCTGGCGTTGTCCAAGGTCTCAGGTGACTTAGGCTAAAACTACCGAGGTGCTGTGAGGATTCGAGACAGGGCCAGCTGGTGGCTTGTGGGGGAGGTGACAGCATCATCCCATACTGCTGCTCAGCCTGGCATCACAGGACATATGGAATGGGTGCTGGTGGGTGAACCACAGGCCACGAGAAAATTCAGCATCGGATTTTCCTGTTCTAGCGAATGTTGTCACCTGCCACCTAACAGAGGGTCTGATCTTACATAAGGTCCTTAATGTGAAGTGAATTTGTTTTCAAAGAAAACATTCCCAGAGATAGAGAAAATTCTCAATACTCTTTTAAAAAAAGTATGATTCCAAACTAAGAGCTATTCTGGGGGCAGGGAGATGGCTCAGTGGAATAAGTGCTTCCCTGGCAAGCACAAGGGCCTGAGTTCAATCCCCGGTTCTGCAAAAAAAAAAAAAAAAAAAAAAAAAAAAAAAGACCTCAAAAAAAAAAAAAAAAAAAAAAAGACCTCTTCTGTGCTATAATCTGGAAAATAGAAAAGTTTAAGGAAAGCAAAACCGCAGCCCTCTGTAGCAGGGCCATCAGAAATGGACTGAATTATTTCAAATGAGAAGATTGACCTTTGCTGGGTACTGGTGACCTTGGTCGGTAGGCATCCCGGACGTCTGCAGCCTGTCCCCGTCCAGGAGAGGCGCACCCCTGGAAGCAGCTGGATCCTGAGCTGCAGAGGGGGTGCATGTCAAGATGTTCCCATCAAGAAGGAGAAATACCTACAGCTATTATGCTTGCAATTTTTATATGAATTATTTTGTCGTCCTCCCCTTTTCCTCCAAAACAAAGATTAGAGCGTTATTTTAGTACTTTGAATTCTCGGAGCTGGCTCTCCCTGGAAGACATGGTCAACAATTTGCTTAATATGATGCAGCAGCTGAAGACACTGTTTGAATAGGCCAAGCAGGCCAGCACCTGCCGTGAGGCTGCAGTGACACAGGCCATTTTTAAGAAATAGAATTCTTATCAAAAGCCAAAAAAAAAAAGAAGAAGAAGAAGAAGAAGAAGAGGAAGAAGAGGAAGAAGAGGAAGAAGAGGAAGAAGAGGAAGAAGAGGAAGAAGAGGAAGAAAAAGAAACAAAAAAACAGGTGGCTCATTCCCATGCAAAAGATGACAGTTTTTTGTACCCATTTGGATTTGGTAAAACTGGGTGTAAGTTTTTCTCTGCCTGAGTGCCTGGGCCTGAGTGCAGATAACCAGGGGCTCAGGTGACTCTAGTGGAGTTGCAGAATGATGCCTGATTGGCTGCTCCTGGTCCTGTCCTGCTGTTCCCCCACCCAGAGGCTGGCCCTGGTTCTGCCCAGCAGCAGCAGCTCTGACCCACCATGGGCTATGGTGGCTACACGGCTGCATCTTTTACCTTGCTGCTTTTGTTCAGTATTCTGTTTCTGAAGCCTGAGGTTCATTTTTCTTGAGGTTCCAAGCAGCCTCAGGAGAAAACTCCCTGCCCAAGCTGCTGTGGGGATTAGCCAGAAAGCCCAGGTGTAGATAGACGGCTGCTTTTGTACTTTGACCTGGACTGTTGAAAAATACGTTTGATTTTCCAAAAGTTGAGGATTTTCTAGCTTTCTTTTTTTTTTTTTTTCTGTGTGTGTTTTCCTCCTTGAATGCCTTCAGGGCACTTTTGCATGGCTGGAGTGTTGTGGGGATCGAACTACAGCCAACTGAGGCTGCCAGCATTGTGGAAGCTGCCACTTAAAGAACTGAGCTAGGGCTGGGCCCCCTAGCTTTCTTTTTAAAGTTGATGGGGTGGAGGCCCTGGAGGTGAAACACAGGGCCCCTGAGCCACACCCCAGCCCTTTGTGTGCTTGTGTTGCTGAGTTGCTGAGCTGGCGTTGAACTGGGGAGCTGCTTGCCGTGTTCTGGGCCTGTGCAGTGTCTGGACGTCCATGGGCAGTGCAGGCGGAGGAGGAGCATGTTGGCTGTAGCAGAATCCTCTAGAGACAGGGCCTCCTGTGTTGCCCAGTCTGGTCCCCAGCTCCTGGGCCCCAGCACCCCTGGCTCTAGATGCTGAGTCACTGGGACCACTGCTGCCCTGCTGTGCTGGGCAGGTGAGCCCTTGGTTCTGATGCGGACAGTGTGCTCACTGGGTCACAGTATGGAACAAAGCCAGGCTGGGCTCAGTGTGGTAGCAAGGGAGCCGGTCCTACCTTGACCTTGTGGGCAAGTCTCAGGGAGAGGGAGGCCCCAGCACGGCCCTGTTCCCGGGCTTGGATCTGGCCTGCATATGAGGGTCCTCCTTCACCAAGCCCACAGTGACACACTGGGCCTGCTGCTGGGCCAAGTGAGGTCCCTGGGCCCTGGTGAAGCAGTGGCTTCTGGGCTTGGGCTGGGAGCCCTTGGGAGCCAGGACCCAGTGTTGGTGTTGGCAGTGTCTGTCCCCAGTGCGGGTGTGGTAGGCAGTGTCTTGAGGTGGGGGTGCACAGGTGGTGAAGGCTCATAGGTAGCTTCCTTTTTCCCTGTGAAAAGGACCGGTTGGTTTCATTAGGGACTTTGTAAAGCTCTGTCTGAACATGAGCCGGGGTCAAAAGCATTTCCATCTCCTGAGCCTGAGGCCCTGGAGAGCAGAGCAGGAGGGTGATCAGATGGGTGGGGCCATGAGAGCTGAGCCCCCAGACCTGCCCCACTTCGTGCACTGCGAGGACAGTCAGAAGAGTTTACCACCCCGCCTCAGGACAGTGTGGATGGAGGACCTCATGCTACATACTGGACCTTTCACTAGGAATTTTATATTCACTCATTTTTTAAACTAAATTTATTTTTGGTATTGGGAACCAAAATCACAACCTCAGGCTTGCTAGGCTGGAATTTTATTTATTTATTTATTTATTTATTTATTTATTTATTTATTTATTTATTTTTGGAACCGGGGATTAGAACTCAGGCCCTTGTGCTTGCCAGGGAAACACTTATTCCACTGAGCCATCCCCCCAGCCCCTGGAATTTAATTTTAAAAGAAATAAATTTAGCCCAGCTGAAGTTACTAAGGTGATTTTTGGCAGCTTTAGTGGAAAATTTGTATTTGTGTGTATGTAATTAGCTCTGCCACAGCTAAACGGGGCAGAAGAGCACAAGTCCTTGCTGTCAAGGGCATTGTCCAGCAGCTGCCACTGAGTGGCCCCAGGGTCTTGGGTCACCTGCCACAGCCTGGCTCAGGCTGGCCCTGTCTCTGTCCTGCATCATGTCCTTATAGCTCCTTGTTTTCTTGGCCTTCAGGCTCCCTTCCCAGCTTTCTCTGTAAGAGTGAAATGTGGCTCAGCACAGGTATAGGGAGGGCTGGTGACTGCAGGCCCCAGGAACAGGTCCCAGTCCCTGCAGGTCAGGCAGGGTGCTCTCTGGTGCATGTGAATCCCATGTATCCAGGCCTGTGGTGAGTGAGGAACATGGCCTTGCTGGTGTCTGTCTTGGGAACTTGGGAACTGCCTGTCGATACTGCCGCTCTGGTGTCACCACTTGTCCCCGAGTACTCAGGAGGGTCCTCAGAGCACCTGTCTAGGCAGCAGAGGGCCACCTGGGCACACTGTCCCACAGCCTCAGGAAGGAGGGGACTGCATGGGATAGCCCTAGGCTGGGGACCACAGGAAGCCAGCCCATCAGGACTTCCGGCAACAGGAGGGGGCCCGGCAGGCAGTAACAAGCACAGGGCTGGGACACAGGCAGATGCCAGCTGTAATGCCTTGGCCCGGGGGCTCTCTGGGGGGTGCTGCAGCCCTGACCAGCTGGAGAAGATGCCATTAGACTGATCCCTTGATCGGCTTACCTGCCCCAACATCTAGATGGACTTGGATGTGGGAGTTTCCTGTTCTTCCAGCTACTGCTTACCAGTGTGACAAGGCCTCTCTAATTAGGGTGGGCCCCTCCATCCTGGTCCCTACCTGAGTCACATTCCTGGGCAGGTCCTAGGCCCCAGGCATTGGGTGCAAACAGCCTCACTTGCCCTGGACTTAGATCCTGGGTTCAAGGGCAGGAGTCAAGGGTGAAAGGACAACTAGTCGTCACAGAGACAGGCATGAGCTGTTTGATACTTAGCCCCCAAGCTTTCAAGTTCAGCCTTGCGGATTATTTCCAGGTTATTTTTATTTTAAATAATAGAAACAGTATTGAGCATAGTAATTTTTTTTTTGAGCAGAATATATTTATTGAGGGAAAGAAAGCTCCTTTCTGAGAGAAAGGAAGGAGGGGTGCCCGTTCGGATTGTCCCCCGGGAGAGCATAGTAAATCTTGATAAAGAATTCATAGATCTGGAGCTGAGGAGATGGCTCAGTAGAATAAGCGCTTCCCTGGCAAGCCCAAGGGCTTGTGTTCAATCCCCGGTTCTGCCAAAAAAAAAAAAAAAAAATTAGTAGGTCTTTTAAAATTGTTTGTTAGTACGAATGGGGTAGCACCCAGTTGTGATCCCAGCATTCAGGAAGCTGAAGCAGAGCCGACCAGACAGCTCCACAGACTAAAACACCTGCTTAGGCAAGCTCAGGGTTCGACCACCAGTGTGCCATGCTGGCCCCACCCCCGGGGCGTGCTGAGGTGGTGGCGCGCCCCTGTAATCCCAGTGCTTGGGAAGCTGAAAACAGGAAGAACACTACAAGTCCTAACTGTGTAGTGAGACCCTGTAGACCCTGTACTGGAAATACAAAAAAAAAAAAAAGAAAGAAAGAAAGAAAAGAAGCTGAAGCAGGAGGATCACCATGAGTTTGAGGGCAGCCTGGGCTACAGTGCAAGGACTCGCCTCAAAAATAAATAAATAAATAAATAAATAGCTGTATGTGATTTTTTGGGGAGTCTTAGTCTGTGTTAGCTCTTTACATTGTTTTGTTTTTGTACCGGGAATTGAATGCAGGATCTTGGGCTTGCCACTGAGCTATGTCCCTGGCCTCCATTGGTTCCTAAAAGAAGGTGGTTAGGCCAGCTGAGGTGCAGCATGCTAGTAGATTGAGTTACTTGGGAGCCTGAGACAAAGGATCATGGGTAGCCTGGCCAACTTAGTGAGACCTTGTCTCAAAATTAGATGAGGCCTGGGCTGGGGAGATGGCTCAGTGGAATAAGTGCTTCCCTGGCAAGTGCAAGGACCTGAGTTCAATCCCTGGTTAAAAAAAAAAAAAAAAATTAGATGAGGCCTAAGGGCGAGCCAGATAGCTCAGCAGACCAGAGCGCCTGCTTAGGCAGAGCTCAGTGGCTGGGATCCCCGCTGGCCGTGCCTGGCGCACACCTGTAATCCCAGCACTTGGGGAGGCTGAAAACAGGAGAATCACTATGAGTCTGATCTGTATAGTGAGACCCTGTAGACTCTGTACTAAATACTAAGAAAAAAAAATTTTAAAAAGGCCTGGAGGTAGCTTAGTGTTTGAGCCCTTCCCCAGCTTGCAGAGAATGCTAGGTTCCATCTCTAGCACTGCAAAAAAATAAAGTCAAGTAAAGTAAGAGAGAGAGCGCAGAGGCATAAGCACCTACTTGGCAAACCCAAGGACCTGAGCTTGACCTCTGGCCCCACATGTGGCCATGTGGTCTCAGCCCCGGATGCCCAGGCACAACATCACAACCCTGGATGGGGCACTCACTGTGTGGCCCCAAACCACGCACAGTGGCACATCCCTGTAATCCCAGCACTCAAGAGGTTGAGCCAGGAGGATCCCTGTGAGTTTGAGACCAGCCTGGTGGCTGCAAAAGTGAACACAAGTCCAGCCCAAAGAGCAGCTTCGTTCCTACTACATATTCCTACTGTGTCCCATCTCACAGCCAGTGGTGCTGACAGTGATGTGCTCACTTGGCAGCTGGTTCCTCGTGGTACTTTGTCGGGCACACTGCACTCTATGCACGTAGCAGGTCCCTTTCGGGTCAGGTGGCAGTGCCTGCACACCTCTTTGCAAGTTCCAAGGCTGGGGTCTGCATGCCCACAGGCCTGCTGGCCCAGGACCCTAATGGTGGCATTTTCTAAGTGTGCTGTCCATGGCCTGGGGCTCCTGTATGGTCCCAGGTGTCCCATAGGCAGCCACCTTGTCCTGTGCCTGGAGGTAAGGAGGGAATGCAGCTCAGGAAGTACACTGAGCACGGTGGTTCTGCAGTCCCCAGCTGGGCTTTCTGTGTAGCCTGGCTGACAGGACCCTTGCCATGTATACAGTGCTGCCAGTCAGTGCAGGCAGAGGCAAGGTCTGGAAGTTGACCCTGGGAAGGGGGCATATTGGAGGCCAGTCTGTCCCTCCTTATCTGTCTCCCAAATCAAGCCATGCCACTGACTGCCCTGTTCCTCCTGCAGCAGTCTTGTGTGAACTGTGGCCGGGAGGCCCTGAGTGAGTGCACTGGCTGCCACAAGGTCAACTACTGCTCCACATTCTGCCAGCGCAAGGTATGTGCACCAGCCTCCAGACCCTGTCCCCTCATCTCCTTGTGCCCCCATCTCCATGTGCTGTGCTGTGTCTGTTGCTCCTTGGGAGGCCCCGCAGGTGGCAGCCAAGGGCACCAATGGCGTCGCTGGCACCAAAGCACCATCTGAGGCCAGTAGGTTGCACAGGGCTGCACAAAAATGATAGCGCACAGCCTGCTTATACCTCAGCTCTTGGGTGTTGAAATTAAATGTTCTTTTTGACCCACAAATTGTATCCCACATCCCTCTTACTTCATCCTCCCTCAAGAATAGTCAGAGGTTGGGCCGGGGAGATGGCTCAGTGGAGTAAGTGCTTCCCTGGCAAGCGCAAGGGTCTGAGTTCAATCCCTGGTTCTGAAAAAAAAAAAAAAAAAAAAAAAACTGATAAGAATAGTCAGGGGTCTGTTTTCTCCCATCCAAGTACTAATCAAGCCCAACCCTGCATAGCTTCTGAGATCGGGCATGTTCAGGGTGGTATGGCCATAGTCAAGGGATCTATTTTCTGACTGTCCTTGGGCTGTCTGAACTATTCCCAGCCAGGAGCCATGCATGCATAGCCTTTGGTGTCTCTCTTCTGTGCACTCTGTCTCCAGGACTTCTGCCTGTCACAGGCCAGCCAGTCTGTTCTGTGGCTGCCCAGCTAATGCCAATGCAGTGGAGTATAGCTCGCCTTTGCACACCTCCACTGTCCCCTCTGCACCACCTCCTGCCTAGCTATCAGGGTGCTGCTGCTGGAGACTGTGGACACCTGGGAGGGTTTGCAGATCTATGATGAAGGAGTGTTCAGGGTTATGGAGAAACTTCCAGCTGGTGTCCAAAATGCTATTTCCACTGCCGTGTTGGCCCTGTCTCCACATCCTTGCCAGCGTAGTTCCTTTGGTCACAGCTATTCTGTGGGTGATGTGTGTGTCACCTTGACATGATTACAGCCATCTTGGGTTATAGCCACCAGAACCACCCCAGAGTGACCCTAGCTGGTATTCCCTGAATAGTTTCCTAGCAAACCATAAGGAGATAAAACCCTTTGAGTCATAGGCAGAGCTCTGCAGCTGGGCCCTACACCCTGCTTCTGTCAGTGAGTCCCCAGTAAATTGCCGCCCGTGTGGTCTTGGCTCTGTTTGCCTCTTGCCAGCCTCTTGCACCCTGGGGCTGGCCCTTGTACACTGGGACTAGGTTGTTCCAAAACAGGTGAGAATCTATGCTAGGGTGAGTTCTAATTCCCATTTTCTTAACAGCTCACAAAGATGGGCATTTTGGTATGTTCACTAAGCTTTCGTATGGTTTATTTGTGTGTGTGTGTGTGTGTGTGTGTGTGTGTGTGTGTGTCCAGCTCAGCCCACCAGGAGGCGGGGCTGGCTGGCATGTGGTGCTGGGGGATTGAACCGCGGTCCCTGTGCTTTGCTAAGCTTGTTCTAAGTAGGTGCTTTAGACCACTGAGCCATCTCACCAGCCCCTCATATGTTTTTTTTGGTGAAATGTCTCTTCAAATCTTTTCTTTTTTTAGTTTTTTGGGGTTTTTTTTTCCAAGACAGGGTCTCATTATACAGTTTAGGCTGACATTGAACTCACTGTGTGGCTCAGGCTGGCCTCAAACCCCTGGCAACCCTGCCTGGGCCTCAGTGCTAGGATTACAGGTGTGCACCAGCATGCCTGGCCTTTTGCCTATTTGTAAGTTGGGTTGTTTCTTTTCTAATGGATGTAGAATCCTGTATATTTTGTATATAAGTCTTTTATCAGATATATGCTTTGCAAATTTTTTCTGCCAATCTGAAATTTGTCTCTGCTTTGTTCATTTATGTTTTTGGTGCTGGGGATTTGAATCCAGGGCTTCACACAAGCCAGCCTCTCACCTTTTGTTTTTTTTTTTGTACCAGTGATCAAAGTCATGACCTCACACTTGCCAGGCAGGTGCTATGCCACTGTGCTATATCCCCCACCACTCCCACTTTCTTAATGATGTTTCTTTTAGTTTTTTTAATAGTGTTTCTTGAAGAGTAAAAGGTTTTAATTTTGTGTTTGTTTGGTTTTTGGTATACAGGATTGAAGTCAGGAGCATGTGCTTGTAGGCAGGTGTTTATGCCAGTGAACCATCTCCTCGGCAGAGATTTTAATTTTTATTTATTTATTTATTTATTTATTTGGTACAGCATCTGACTGTGCAGTTCAGAGTTCTACCTTCTGTCTCAGCCTCCCAGTGCTGAGATTGTAGGTGTGTACCACCACACCTAGTTTGGGGCCCAGCACAGCATGCAGTACCAAGGATGGAACTTGGATCTTTATGCTTGCCAGACAGGTGTTTAGACCTCTGAGCTATCTTTCCAGCCCAAAGTTTTTAATTTTAATGGTGTCCAGTTTATCAAAATTTATGAAGAGGGGCTGGTGAGATGGTTCAGTGGTCTAAAGCACCTACTTAGAACAAGCTAAGCTAAGCAAAGCAAGGGACCGCGGTTCAATCCCCCAGCACCACATGCCAGCCAGCCCCGCCCCCTGGTGGACTGAGCTGGCCACACACACACTAAATAAATAAATAAATGAATAAATAAATATTTAAAAAAATTTGTGAAGAAGGTACTTTTGACATTTTATTCTGGGACTTGTGATGCTGGGCCTCTAGAATTTTGTCTAACTCAGGAAGATTTTTTTCCTGTTTTCTTCTAAAACTTTTATACTTTCAGTTCTCAGGTGTAGAGTTATGATAGGTTTTTTATTGATAGTAGGAGGCAAAGTTCAAGGTCATTTCCACATGGAGATATCCAGCTGTGCCCCCAGCCTCTGCTGTAAAGGTGCTGTCCCCACAGCTCTGTCACACATGCTGACAGCAGGAGGAAGGTTTGTCTAGAGCCGGCTCTACCCACGTTGCCTTGATTACTGTTGCTGCAGAGTATGCTTTACAGCTAGAAAGTGTGTCATCTAGCTTTATTCTTTTCCAGAACTGTTCTGGCTGTCTTGGTCCTTTACATTTTCTATGCATTTTGAGATCAGAAAAGGCTTAGTGGAAGAAATCCCGGCCTAACTACTGAGTCTAATCTGTAAAGACAATGCCTCCATTAGGAGGGTTTTATGGTGTCTGGTGCATACAAATCCATCTTCTCTTACTGGCTTTGTTCCAGAGCAGCTTATTTGGGGATGCTCCTCGGGTATTATTTTCTTAATCTCATTTTCAGATGCTCACTGCAAGGATACAGGAAAACTGATTTTTGTACTGTGTGATTGCAAAGGGACCCTGTGGTCTCTGAATAAAGATAGTTCTTTCCTTGTGATCTGGAAGCGTTTTCTTTTTTTATTGTGCCACTGCACCTTCTAATCTAGTACAATGATGAAATGTGTTAGGAGAGAAATCCTTGCCTTGTTCTCCATCCTAGGGTTGGACAGCTCAGTCCTTCATTCTTAACTGTGATGCTACCTGTAGGTCTCTTAGCAAACAGGGAGCTTCCTTCCATCCCAGCTGAGTTGCTGCCACTAACGCCAATGTATCCTGTCAGCATCTACTGCAGTGACCTTGGTGGGGGCAGGGAGAGGGTTCAGCCAACCCTGCCTGTCTGCCTGGGAAAATCCCTTGGTCACAGGATACCATCCTACTTGTACCTCTTTGATTTGTTTGCCATTTCGTTGAGGGTTTTCTATATCCATATGTGAGAAATTAATGCGTATTCTATCTGTTGATGTCCATCTGGCCTATGGCTGCTTTAGGAAGCGGTGTGCTCCTTCTGAAAGACTCAGGTGATCCTTGTTGTTTCTTGTCACTTTTTTTCCTTTCTTTTCTGTATTTAGGTCAGGGTCTACAGGGTCTCACTATGTAGATAGACTCATAGTGATCCTCCTGTTTTCAGCTTCCCAAGTACTGGGGTTACAGGCACACGCCACATGCCCAGTCTCAGTTGATGGCTTAGTGTGCTCCATGGATGGGGCTGGCATGACACGACAGGGACCGAACCCCAGCCACTGCACTCTGCCTAAATAGGTGCTTTAGTCTGCTGAGCGATCCAGCCAGCCCTTCCTGTCACTCTTGAAACCAGCCCAACCTGGCCTTCTCTGTGGAAGAACTTTTATTTCCTCAAGCTCAGCTCTGCTCCCCTTTTTTCATTATGTGCTGCTTCTTGGGTTGGGCTGGCAGCACACAGCCTCTGGGAGCCTGTTTGTTTCTTTAGGGCTGTTGGATTTGTTGATGTCACTGTGTCTGCGTAGCTCCCCAGGACCCTTAGGGTTTCTCTGTGGCTGTCTTGAGGCCTGTTTGCCAGTGTTGGCAGAAGGGATCATATTTCACAGTTGGAGCTCCAGGTGTGTGTCTTAGCAGTGAGCCATCTCTTGGTTCCACTCTTTGCATGCTGTCTTCCTGCTTCCCTGACATTCACTCTGCTCCTTACCTTCCTCTTGCTGTACTTGATTTGCTCTTATTTTTTCCAATTCTTTTTTTTTTTTTTTTTTGGTGGAACTGGGGGATTGAACTCAGACCCTTGCACTTGCCAGGCAAGCGCTTATTCTACTGAACCATCTCCCCGGCCCCTTACTTTTTGTGTGTGTGTGATTTTTTCCAATTCTTGGGGTAAAAGTTTATGTTGCTAACCTGATATCTGTCTTCTTTTCCGATAAACACCTTTAAGGGACATATTGTTCCATCTACACCACAGCCCTAGCTCTGTCACACACAACTGGATAAATTGTATTTTCCTTCTTGTTCACCAAGGCCTAGCATATAGTTCAGGAAAAAAGACCTTCTAGCATGTTTAACCTTCTAACATCCTGGCTTAACCTACTAGGAATGCAAAAATAAAATATTTTGTGCTTCCTTTGAAGTGTGTTAGTTTCCAGGCATCCGTGCACTTCCTGAGCCTGTGATTGTTACCAGTCTACTTATACTGATGTTGGAGAACGCAGAGGACTTCTGTCCCTTGAAACTGACCGCAGCGTGGCCAGGCCTACTTTGTGTTCTCTGGGTGTTCTTGCTGATTTCTCCCAAGGACTGAGGCTACCTCCTTTTGTCGTCAGTGTTGTCAGCTTTTGCTTCCTCTGTTTTGGGCACCGATTGTTAGATTAGCATTTGCTTATTTATTTAGAGGGAGTGAGGATTGAACCCAGGGATGTTTTATTTCAAGACAAGGTCTTGTTAAGCTGTGAAGTTGCCCAGGCTGAGCTCAAGCTTGAGATGCTCCCTCATGGTCTGGGCCCACCTCAGGGAGAGCGTCGTGGAGCCACACCATCTCATGCCTGTGTCTTCCCCTGGGCTTCTCTAGCCTGGCCATGCCTCCCAGACCTGCAGGTCTCCTCTGTTTCTTGAGGGGGACGTGGGACTTGTGAGGAGCAGGGTCATCTGAGGGGCCTGGCCTCCCACCTGAGTGCCCTCCCGGCTTCTCTCCCGCTTGGTGCGGGGCCATGTCACCCTTATCCCTGCAATTTTATTTTTCAGTACTGGGGATCAAACTCAAGACTTTGTGCTTGCCAAATAGGCACTGTCACTGAGCTATATCCCTGGGCTTCCCCTGCATATTTTTGACCTGTAAGCCCCAAATCATTTTGAGTCAGTGTGGATTCTTTTTGTTCTTTTGGCAGTGCTGTGGATGGAAGCCAAAGGTGCTCTACTACTAAGCTACAACCCCAGCCCTTTCTGATTTTTCTTTTGAGACAGGGTCTCCAGGCTGGCTTTAAACTTGTGATCCTCCTGCCTCAGCCTCCTGAGTAGCTGGGTTCAAAGGTGCATACACTGTGCCTGGCTGGGAATCTTGTTTTTAAGCCCATCCTGATTGTCACTTGATCCTGAACAGAAAGCTCAGGAGTTGTGGGAAGCAAGGGCCAGGAGGCTGTACCTTGGCCTGGCAGCTCTAGGGGCAAAGGCCAGGGTGACCTCACACAGCCCTGCCACATAGCGTCTTGCTCTGTCTGTGGTGCTGCCCCTACCCCCTGCCACGTGGCTGTTGTCTTTACCTCCTCATAGGACTGGAAAGACCACCAGCACATATGCGGTCAGTCAGCAGCTGTCACCGTCCAGGCTGATGAGGTCCATGTCAGTGACGGCGTGATTGAGAAGGTCACCGTGTGAGCCAGGCACTTTGGTGCCTCCCATGAGGACAAAGACCTGTGGCCCATGCAGTGTGGAGGAGACAAGCAGGAGGCCGCTGGTAGGCAGGTTCTGGTGAGCCCTGAGCCACAGCACCTTGCACAGGAACGCCCTACCCGAACACCTGGAAGGACTGGTGGCAAGTGGCAGACCAGGTCCCCGCCCCTCACGGTGCTCTTACCTGGATCATGGGCGTGCAGTCACCCAAGGTGTCCCTGTGCTGCAGCACGCACACATACGTGTCTGTCAATAAAGTTGTAAATAATCCCCACCCCACCCAGTGCCTGGTTCAGGCTCAGCTAGAGGGGTTCCATCCTATTTGTCCTCATGGTGCTGGTCCACTTGGCAGGGTCTAGCTTCAGTGTTTCTCTTGCTGACCACAGGAGGGGCCTCTGGGAACAGGACATCTGCCTGAGCAGCTTTAACTGTGGCTAAAGAAGGAGGTCCCAGGGGCCACGGAGTTGGCTCAGTGGAATAAGTGCTTCCCTGGCAAGCACAAAAGCCTGAGTTCAATGCCCAGTTCTTCTGCCCAGTGACCATGGTGCCCAAGCTATGCCTGAGGTGACACATTTAATGCACATGGAACATATTGCCTGGTGGCCCATGCCCAGTGCTTGAGCCCTGGGCATCTCCATACCACCCTCAGGAGCAGGGCTGTGGGCCTGGATGCATTTGGGGGCCCCCTTCCCTGCATGTTTGGTTATCGGTGGCCTCCTTTGCTGATGTCAATGCTGCTATATTCCAGAAGTTTCCCCAGCTTTCCAGCCATACCCTCCTGGTGCCACCTGGGCATCCAGGCCGCTGGATTCCCTCAAGGGGCCTAAGGAGACAGGTAGACCAGCCTGGCTGAGAGTGGTATTCCCACCTGTGCAAGGACGGGGCAGCACCTATGGCTGTGGGTCTCAGACCTGAGGGTGTAAGCCTCCAGGGCACTGGGTTTGGGGGCATCTGTGCTCTGGGGACCATTCTGAGGCCCCTCCCCAGGCTGAGACTGTGGTCTTCACATAGAGTCTGGGCCCCTCATGCTGGCCTAACCCTTTGATAGATAGGCTCTGGTGGCTGCAGCTCAGGCAGGGACCTTCTCAGCCCTTGACCCCAGCCAGCCAGGCAACATAGAGGCTGCTGAATACCTGCAGGGGGCTGGCCCTGGCCATAGGGTTTGCAGCAAAAGGTAGCAGGAAGCCACTAGGTGAGCCATGGGCTTCCCAGGTCGCCATTGAGCAGAGGGTGGCCTGTGGATGCCCCCACACACAACTTGGGGAGGTGCCCAGGACCTCACAGGGGGCAGTCCAGATAGACACCACTGGCCTCCTGGAGTCAGACGTTTCCTAGGTTTGGGAAGCATCTTACCCCTCCCCTTTTCTTTACAATGAATTCAGGCTGGGCATGTTGGTGCATGCCTGTAATCCCAGCACTTGGGAGCCTGAGGCAGAAGGATCAGTGTGAGTTTTGAGACCAGCCTGGGCAACAAAGTAAGGTCAAGGACAGTGTGAACTGCATAGCAAGACCCTGTCTCAAAACATTGATAAATAAAATAAATTTTAAAAATAAAAGTAAAAACGAGGGCCACTGAGAGCTCAGTGGACTAAGTGCCTGTTTAGGCAAGCACAGGGACAGGGGTTTGAGTCCCAGGATCACAGTGCCACTCCAGCCTTGCCCCCAGTCCAGGTGAGATGTACACCTATAATCCCAGTGCTGGGGAGGCTGAAAACAGGAGCATCACTACAAGCTCGAGCTGCATACACAGGCCCTGTACCAAACACATTAAAAATATAAAATAAAATATAAAATGAAACCTTTGGGCTCATGCTTGGGGTTTCTCTGCAAGGCTTGCTGTCAGGGTCCAGGTGATAGTCCTGGAATGCAGAGGCTTCAGCAGCTACCTGTCTACAGAGCTGTTCAGCGGGGCCAGCAGGGCTTGGTATATCTAGCTGGGAAAAGCCAAACGAGCCCCAACCCCCCACGTGGTGTCACCCTTTCCCATGAAACTGTGACCCATCTTCCCTGATGTATGGCAAGTGGCACTTACTGGGAGGCTGGGGGCTTCCCGATGCTGTTGCTGCTGAGGTCGTGAGGCACGCTGGCCTTCCAGACCCGCAAGCTGGGGGCAGCATTCATGCTGGGGCTCAGGCAGTGGCGCCGGACAGCAGGGTTCGCCTGCCCAGCCTCTCCCTGCAGGACCCCCTGAGGCCCCTGGATCCCCTCTTCCCAAAGGGCAAGGCCATGGGGATCAGGGGCTGGCAGTACACCCTGCGTGGAGCCCAGTCCCCACTCCACTGCCCACCGCCCACAGCCACACGCCGCGTGTCAGGAAAGGATCGGTTTAATCAGACCAGGGCTTGTTCCCTCCAGGCTGGGCTAGCAGCCCAGGTGCAGCGCCTTTCGGAAGAAGGTGCGGAACTCCGCATTGAAGACTGTGTAGATGACTGGGTTGAGGGCACTGTTGACGTAACCCAGCCAGGTGACGGCGCTGACCAGGCGTGGGGACACGGAGCAGGCAGGACACAGCGCGCGCGTGATGTGCACCACGAAGAAGGGCGTCCAGCACACCAGGAAAGCCCCTGGGGATGGGCGCCATGAGCAGGCGCCTGGGCGCCACATCCGGGACCCCTTCTCAGTCCCTTCCCGCGCTGTGTCCTCGTACCCCGTGCTTTCCTTGCTTCCCCCTCCCTCACCTTCCCTTTCCCGCTCTCGGGGTCGGGAACCCACCGACCACCACCGGCAGGACCCTCATGGCCTTGCGCTCCCGGCTGGTGATCTTGGCTCTCCGCCTCCTGAGGGTGTGCGGCGAGAGCGCCGCGTCGGGGATGGCGTCTGGAGCAACACAGTATTCGGTGCAGGGGTCGCGGAGAAGGCCCGGAGCGGGATCCGCACGGTCCTGAGCGCAGGGGAGCCCAGATGCGGGATCCGCGGGGTCTGCGGGGCAGGAGATCCCGGGTGCAGAGTCCTCGGGATCCAAGGCATAGGGGAGGCCGGGCGCGGAGCCCGCAGGGTCCAGGGTGCAGGGCTCCCCGGGTGGCTGGGGCGGGCCGGGGCCGCTGGGCCGGCGGGGCGCGTGTGCGTGCAACTTGGTGCGCCGAGCAGCCCCCCAGCGACGTAGACCCCGGAAGGTGGCCCAGTAGAGCAGCAGCATGAGCGGGCAGGGCAAGAAGAAGGAGCACACGGACGAGTAGACCACGTAGTCGCGGTCTTCCAGGCGGCACACGGCCGGATCGCGCCCGCGCACGTCGTTGAGGCCGAAAAGCACAGGAGCAGCCACCGCGGCGGACAGCAGCCACGTGGCGCCGATGAGCAGGAGCTGACGCCGGCCCTGCCGGCCATAGCTCAGCGGCACAGTCACGGCCACAAACCTGCAGGGCGCGGGCAGGGACGCGGTGAGGGGGGCGGGGGTACTGGAGTGCTTAGAGTAGCGGGCTCAGAGCGCTTGGCGTAGAGGAGCAGGTGCGCAGGGGGCAGAGAGGGCGGGGCAAGGGCAGGTGCGCCCACCTGTCCACGCTGATGGCACACAGGTTGAAGATCGAGGCTGTGCAGAGCATGACGTCCATGGCCATGAGCGCGTCGCACAGGCGGGGACTCAGGAGCCACTCTCCGCTGTGGGCCTGGGCGGCCAGGAGGGCCAGCAAGAGACAGGGACCTGCCATTTCCAGCCACAGCCATGCCGGCCTTTCTAGCTCCCACTCTTTCGGGGCCCAGGGACTGAGGATCACAGGACAGGCCCCATGCCAGCCTGAGGCGTCTGGGAGCACCCAGCGAGCTGCCCTGCCCAGGTCTCTTTGTGTTAGGACCTTGAAGAGACCCTTGGGGTATGTCATCGCAGCCCCAGCCCTGGCTGGACAGGAAGGCACCCCTGAACCATCTTCTCTGGCAACATTGCCTGTTTCAGAACTTGGAATAAGTACTTTACTTTTTACTTCTCTGAGATGAGGGTGGTGACAATATCCACCTCACAACTGTCCTGAGTACAAATTAATGTAGAAATCAGCATGACTCGGCGCGGCGCCCAGTCCAGGATCATGCGTGGAGTGTCTCCCCTCCAAGGGCAAAGAGGCGGCCAGCGGCCCCTCTAAATCCCGCTGATGGGGACGATTAGGTGCTTAAGAATCGTCACAGTGACGTCCGTGCACAGCTTGGGAGCAGCCGAGGACAAGCATGTCCTTGCTGCAAGCTTCACCTCAGCGTCTGAACTCAGGTGTCCACCCAGAAGCCGGCGTCTCCTCCCCCACCACGTCCCGGCCCAGCGCTTAAGCGGCTTTGCTTCGGCCAAAGCTCCGCTCAGAGGCGTGGGCGCCACAGCAGGGGCGTCGGAAAGCAAACCCGCCCCCTCTGCTCCCAAGCCCGCAAGCCGTGCATGCGTCCTCCCTGCACTGCTATTGCCAACAGTTTCTTGCACCTGGGTTGTGGGGTCCGCGGGGTGGGCTGGCGACCTCGTGAGAGGCAGTGCGTGGCCGTGGTGCATTCCGTGGTGTGTGCACCCTGGGGTAGTGAGGGGGCCAAGCCTGCATCTTCTCATCTGTCCAGCTGACGAGGGGCAGTACTGGACAGGCTGAGTCGCCTGTTTCTGGGGTCCCTGACTAAAGGAACAGAGGCCTCTTTTTGGGTGGCAGAGGCCAAGACAGAGGAGGTGACAAAGGGACAGCAAAACGCCCTGGGGAACGCAGAGATGAGGTGCCCTGCAATTGCTCAGGGTCCAGCTCCCGAGGCCGCGCGCTGGGTCTGCACGCGTCCAGCGAGGGTACAGGGCTGGGGCCGCGGAGGGCACGGGGTCGCAGGAGCAGGGTGGGTGCCCGCTCACCTCCGAGTAGACAAAGAGCGGCAGCACGAGCAGTGCGAGGAGTAGGTCGGCGGCCGCCAGGCTCAGAATGAAGTAGTTGGTGGGAGTCTGCAGGGCGCGCTCGGAGGCCACGCTCACGCACACGAGCAAGTTCCCCGCCAGCACCGCGCCGATGAGCAGCGCGCCACCCGCCAGCGACGCCACCCCCGCTGCCCCCAGGCCCGAGACCCCCACCCCGCGCCCCGCAGGCAGCCAGCCCGCCTCTGCAGCGCTTCGGTTCCCCATGGCGCACGGCCCCGCGCCAGGGTGGACGCCCGGCTCATCCGACTGCCTGGCTCCCCTCCGCAGCCCCGCCCACCGCTCGGCTCCGCCCACAACAAGCCCCACCCCGCGAGCTCACAGCCCCGCCCCCCGCTCGGCTCCGCCCACAACAAGCCCCACCCCCTCGAGCTCACAGCCCCGCCCCAGTGCGCGAGCCCCGCCCCAGTGCACGAGCCCCGCAGTGCGCAGTCTGCACCCTGGGCTTTTGTGCTGGCAGACCCGCAAGCCCAGCTTCGCGAATGCGACGCCACGAAGGAGTGGATGTGCGGTCCGCACAGAGAGATACTGAGGGAGGGGCAGACAGTGGACCCGACCGGAGCTTCGGGCATGTGGCAGCGCCTCAAGGCGGGCACTCCCCCTGCCTTTCCTCGGCAGGCACTGCCGCAGCCTCCAGCTCCCGCCCCAGGGCTCCCACATGCCTACCTCGTTATTTATTTATTATTTATTTAGGGATTGAACTCAGACCCTTGCGCTTGCCAGGGAAACGCTCATTCTACTGAGCCACCTCCCCGGCCCCTATTGCCTCCACTCTCACAGGTTCCCTCGACCCTACCTGGGCCACTGTGTGCAGCGGGTTCAGCGTCAGCCCCAGGCCCTCTCTGACCTTAGGTGCTGCCCTGTGAGGTGGTGAGAACCGTGGGTCCTGAGCTTCCCCTTCGTTTGGACGCCCCCTTTCTTCTGCATGGGCTGCACTGACTGCCCGAGCCCCTACACCCAGGACGCACGGAACACAGTGGAAAGCGACCAGAAGAGCCAGGACGCCCGCAGATTACAAGAGTGTGAGAAGAAAGTGCAAGGACAGAATAAAAGGAGTTTTTTCAGGGTCACTGAAAAAAAAATTTTTTTTATTTAGTACAGAGTTTACAGAGTATTTAGTATTTAGTATTTATTTAGTACAGAGTTTACAGAGTCTCGCTACATAGATCCAACTCATAGTGATCCTCTTGTTTTTAGCCTCCCAAGCCCTTGGATTACAGGTGCACGCCACCATGTCCAGTCTCACTCACCATCTCAGTGTGCCCCAGGGATGGCACTCCACACACTGGGCCACTGAATTGGGCCTCATGGTGCACACCTATAATCCCAGCACTGGTGAGGCTGAGACAGAAGAATCACCACAAGTCCAAGCTGCGTAGCAAGACCCTATACCAAATAAATTAATAAAAGATTAAAAAAAAAAAACAGACATAGAAATATCAAGGACTCCAAGAAAACAGACCTGTAATGGTCAAGGTCATGGGGTGTGTGACAAGCAGCCCTGGAATCCAGCTGGGCCACATTCTAGACCCCAGGCTCTCGGGGCAGATCCTCGGAGGCCAGGGGTCTCCTCTGCCTGCCACACTTGAACAAAAGAGGGCACAGTGTAAGTGACCTGTGGCAGAGGACACCTTCTAGGGCTAAAGTCCAGCATGTTTGGCCCTGGGACCTGGGTTGTGCCCAGAGAGACTCCAGCCTCATCTGCTCTGAGCCTCTCCCTGTGCCCAGATGTGTGCCACCATCAGAGGGGATCTCACAGGTGTGAGGGTGGCAGGTGCTGCCGGCCACTGCTTCACCTGCCAGTTCTGCCCATGCTGATTCTGTCAGCTTCCTAGCAGGAATGTGGGTACTGTTTCTACCAGGGTTTTGCTTCCTATGTGAGGTATCTACACATGCAAAACTAGCTCCAAATCAATTTTTTTTAATTTTTATTTATTTGTGTGTGTGTGTGTGTGTGTGTGTGTGTGGCCAGCTCAGCCCACCAGGGGCGGGGCTGGCTTGCATGTGGTGCTGGGGGATTGAACCGCGGTCCCTGTGCTTTGCTAAGCTTGTTCTAAGTACGTGCTTTAGACCACTGAGCCATCTCACCAGCCCCCAAATCAATTTTCTTTCTTTCTTTTTTTTTTTTTGGAACTGGGAATTGAACTCAGGCCCTTGCCAGGCAAGTTCTTATTCTGCTGAGCTATCTCCCCGGCCCCTCCAAATCAATTTTAAATTTAAACTTGTAAAGTTAGGGGGAAAATTTTTGTAACCTAGGATTAGGCAGAATTTTAGGGTTTTTTTGTTTTTTTTTTCCAGTACTGTATCAAACTCAGGACCTTGCACTCGCTAGGCACTAGGCATAGTTTTAGACTCAACACTGGTAGCATGATCCACAAATGATGAACTGGAGTCAGTCAAAATTACAACTTTCACTATAGAATAAAAGAACAGATGAACAAATCATATATGTAGTAAATATCTTATACATACAGAATGATAGCAGTATATGGTCTTTATAAAATACACAAATAACCTCCACACTCAAGAATAATGACCTCCAGAAGGAGGATGCAAGAGTGATAACTCTTCTGAATCTAGATGCAAAGTTTCTCAATGAAATGCGAGCAAATAGACTCCAGCTGTGCTTCGAAAGGATTACAAAGCATTCCCAGGAATGCCAGGGCAGGGTGCCGGATGGGAATCCCTGCTTGTGATACCCTGCCAATGGCATGAAGAGAAAATCCCACCCCAGCACCCCAGTTGATGCAACATAAGCATCTGACCGACTGAAGGGTCTGTGAATGGCAAGGGCTAGCTTGGCTGTAGAGCTCCTGGATGCAAAGGCCCTGCGCTCTACCCCCAGTACCCAAACCATCCAGTGAGCTCCGTGGCTTCCCACCACTCACGCACAGTGCACAGAGACCACACTTCTCCCTGGAGGCTGGGAAAAGGATGAGAAGGCCCAGATCTGTGGCTTCTGTTCCATGGAAGTTCTTGACAAAGAAATGAGGCTCGAGAAAGAAATAAGAAATGCCCAATATTGAAGAGGAAAGAGTTTTGTGTTTCTGTGTGATCCCAAGAAAACCCCTACTGGAATGAAAAAAACAAACTCAGAGATCAGGGATGGTGATGCATGCCTGTAATCTTAGCACTGGGGAGGCTGAGGCAGGAGGATCACAGGGAATTTGAGGCCAGCTCAAACTACACAGCATGTCACTGTCTCAAGAAAACTAAAAAGGATGGGCTGGCAATATAGCTCAACAGACTAAGCGCCTGCTTAGGGAAGCCCAGGGACCCAGGTTCCACCCAGGTACTACATGCCAAACTGGCCTCACTCATAGGCGAGCTAAGCCAGCCACCAAGCCAGGCATGGCAGTAGCACATGCCTATAATCCCAGAGCTGGGGAAGCTGAAAACAGGAGGGTCACTATGAGTCCAAGCTGTGTAGTGAGACCCTGTAACAAACACATTAGAAAGAAAGAAAGAATGAATGAATGAAAGAAAACTAAACATGGCCAGGGATGTAGCTCAGTGGCATAGTTCCTACCTGGCAAGTGTGAGGTTGTGAGTTGAATTCCTGACACAAAAAAGAAAAGAAAAGAAACCTGAAAACGCTGGGTGGTGTGGGGCTGGGGATGAGAAATAGAAAAGCTGATCTTAGAATTCATGTGGAGCTGTAAGAAACCCCAAATAACCAAAAGTATTCTTGGGGAAAACAAACACCTTCAAAATTTCAAAATGTTGGGGGCTGGGGAGATAGCATGATAGCTCAATAGAATGAGCGCTTACCTGGCAGCCACAAGATCTTGAGATCAATCCCTGGTGCCACAAGGAAAAAAAAAAAAAAAGCAAAGTTAGCAAAATTTCAAAATATTAAAGCTTCAAAACTTTTTTTGAGGGGCCGGGGAGATGGCTCAGTAGAATAAATGCAAGAGTCTGAGTTCAATCCCTGGTTCCGCAAAAAACAACAACAACAACAAAAAAAACCCCAAAACAACTTTTTTTGGGAAAAAAAGACTTTGGGAAGGGCCAGGGATATAGCTCACTAGCATAAGTGCCTGCCTGGAAATCATAGGTCCTGATTCCGATCCCCAGTACAGCTTCAGGAAGCAAGAGTACAGCTCTGGAGAATAGAGCTGAGCGCCCATGTGTGACCTACAAATCACAGCTGGTGCTTCCACAGAACTGCCGTGCAGCCTCACAGATTCACTTGAGAGATGCCAGGGTGTGTCTGGGCAGGCCATTCAGGTGTGACTTTGGGGACAGTATCTGTTACCGGGCTCCTTCCTCTTTGGCACTTGCTCTGTCTCTGCCTCTGCCCTGGTGCCAGCTGGCAATGGACCTATACATCTGTGGAGGACCACTGGCAACTGTCTTTGAAAGAGGAGCAGTTGTCTCCACTTTGGCTGAGCCTGACCCACTTTCCATGCATGGATATGTGCAGAGCTGGCTAGGACTTGTCCTTATCACTTCAATTGGCTTTAAGCACTGATATTGGTCTAGGTAAGGTGCTGGTGGTAGTCTGTGAAGACGGCATGCGTGTCCCTGGGCCCCCACCTGCTGATCCCTTGTGTCAGCCAGGACAAGACAGATAAAGAGCCATCCGTGCTGGGATTAAGTCTCAATACGAGGCTATGATTTTCTGGGGCTTTAAAATCAGAGCTGAGGGGCTGGTGAGGTGGCTCAGTGGTCTAAAGCACCTACTTAGAACAAGCTTAGCAAAGCACAGGGACTGAGGTTCAATCCCCCAGCACCACATGCCAGCCCGCCCCGCCCCCTGGTGGGCTGAGCTGGCCACACACACACACACACACACACACAAATAAAATAAATAATTTTTAAAATAAAATAAAATAAAAATCAGAGCTGAAGCACAGACCCCAAAACATTAGCTCCTATCTCACTTGTGTAATGCAGAGGATTCCTTCTGCACATCCTGCGCTATGTATTGGGGAGGTGAGCAGGCCTCCTACCTAGCCCAGCTCACAGCACTCACCTATTTCCTGCCAGTCTCCTTGCCACTCATCCTCAAGCCACGCCTTTCTTCCTGAATGAATAAAACCTGGGTTCAGGCTTGGGTCGAGGCCTTTGTTCCAGAGAGCCATCATCATGGCTGGACTTAAGACCTTTTGGCTCTCCAAAACTATAAATATGTCTTGTCTTTATTCTGGCCATGGGTTGCACTGGAAGTGATAGATTGGATGGGATTCCAAAAACTTCTCCACGGGATTACAAATATAAACTTCTCTGACTGAGACGAAGACCAGGACGGGCTCTCTGTATACCTCTGAAGCTGTGAGCCCAAGGGAGTCCTAGGTGGGCTCAGTGTAGTCTGTGGTCCAGCTGTGCTGGAAGCTGAGGCAGGAGGACCACCGAACCCACAAGTTTGAGGTCAGCCTGGGTAGCGTGAGACCCCATCTTAAAAAATGATACTATCAAAAGAAAAAAGAAAAGAAAAAAGAGGGCCGGCCAAATAGTTCAGCAGATTAAAACACCTGCAAGTAAGCGCAGGGGCCAGGTCCCTGGGCCTGCCTTGCTGGCCCCACCCCCGGGGCGTGCTGAGACAGCAATTGAGACTGGGCATGGATGGTGTATGCCTGTAATCCCAGCTCTTGGGAGGCTGTAAACAGGCAGATCACTATGAGTATGATCTAGTAGTGAGACCCTGAATACCCTGTAGATCCTTCCTTAAAATAGAAAAGAAAAGAAAAGAAAAGAAGAAAGAAAGTTCAGTATATAGCTCGGCAACATAGTGCCTGCCTGGCAAGCGCAAGGTCCTGCGTTTAATTCCTGGTTTAAAAAAAAGGAAAAGAAAACCCAACCCATAGGAGAAAGTATTTAAAATTTAGGGCTGGGCATGGTGGCACTCACTTGTAATCCCAGCACTCAGGAGGCTGAGGTAGAAGGATCATTACAAGTCCTAGACCAGCCTGGGCTGCAGAGTGAGCTCAAGGCCAGAAGGATCATTACAAGTCCTAGACCAGCCTGGGCTGCAGAGTGAGCTCAAGGCCAGAAGGATCATTACAAGTCCTAGACCAGCCTGGGCTGCAGAGTGAGCTCAAGGCCAGTCTGAACATACAGCGAGACCCTGTCTCAAAAAACTAAAACAAAAAGAAAAAAAAAGAAGGCAGCAAATGTTCAGTAGATAAATGGGTGAAGAAAAACTTGCACATGCTTACACTCAAAGTGTGTGCAGTCATAAAGAAGTGACATTCTGACCCAGGCTGCGACCTGGGCTTGTACATTTGGAATAGAATATAACCTGACTCTGGCAAGGGAGCGTGAGGAATCAAGAAAGAGGTTGTCCACTTTCAACTCAAGTTTTCTGTAAACCGACCTGCTTTAAAACATTTCACAAATATTTTTAATGTTTGCTTGCTTGGTTTTCTTTCTTTCTTTCTTTCTTTTTTTATTTTTACACAGGGACTTCATTGTGTAGTTCAGGCTGGCCTTGAAGTCACTTTGTAGTCCAGCCTGGTCTGGAACTTGAAGCACTCCTCCTGCCTCAGCCTCCCAGGTTCTGGGAATACAGGCATGTGCCACCAAGCCTGGCCCTTGCAATGATTTTTTAAATGCCACCTGACAGGACTGGTTTGCAACAGCCAGCGGAGCTTCATGCCATGGGCTTTAAACTCTCAATTGGATCAGGGACAGCAGGGTTCCCTCCCCGCCCCTCAACTGCAGGGCCTACTGCTAGGGCTACCAGGTCTGGAAGGCTCTGATCCTGGCCAGTGTCTGGCGAGTCTCCAGGCGGCCCCCTATACCCCCACCCTGGCGCCGCCATTCCCCTTGGCCCGCCTGAACGCCAGCTGGTGGCCGCGCCCCAGAGCCCCATGTCCTCATGGCAGAGGGGCGGGAGGCAGCAGCAACAGCTGTGGGGGCGGCCCTGACCTTCCCTGTCTGTCGATGCTTCCGGACTGCGCGGCGCCAGGGCCCCTATAAAACACGGCACTGACCTGGGGGTCCAGTGCCTGGCACTGCCCACACCATGGCCCCCTGCCCGCGGCGGCTGCTTCCGCTGCTGCTGCTGCTGCTGCTGCTGCTGCTGTTGCTCGGGGGCCCTGCTGCACGCCCCGCCCCGCCCAGGTGAGCCCCGCGGCCCAGGGGAGCACCCCTACCCTGCCCAACCTGACCTAGTACTGCCATCCCCAGGGCCACCCGGCACTCGGACGGGACTTTCACCAGTGAGCTCAGCCGCCTGCGGGACAACGCCAGGCTGCAGCGCCTGCTGCAGGGCCTGGTAGGCAAGCGCAGGTGAGCAGCCAGAACAGCTGGAGGAAAGGCACAGTAGGAGGACGGGCAAGCAGGCATGTGCTGGGGCTGGGATAGGCGCCGCATCACTGCCCCACCTCCAGGCCTGATTCTGATTTGGGGGGACAGCGAGCAGGACCTAGAGAACTGCACTACCAGGTCCAAGCCTGTGGACGGCCCCCTGTGCCTGCTGTGGCTGGACGTGCGTACTTCACAGGCCTGGTGAGGCCCTTGGTCAGCCCTGAGGGCAGGGGGGCTGGGTGCCAGTTCAGTCCCTAAGGTGCTGTCTCTGCAGGAGGCCCCTGGGGGGACCCCTGGACCACGCCCCATCTCTCTGGCTGCCTCCTGGGCTGGCTGGAGCCACCCAGCTCCCTGGTGAAGAGGAGGAAGAGGAGTCCAGCCACCGGCAGGGTGCAGGGGCACGGGCAAGGGCAGGCTACACTTCATCGCAATAAAGGAAGGAGTACCCAGGTCTCCCGGCCCATGGCTGTGCGTCTGCTCGTGGGCATCAGGTGGGGGGCTGTCCCCCAACTTGGTGGCCAGCCTCAAACCCTGGGCCCTAAGGTACTGACCCTCATCTCTGCACTGCCTGACTGCCTAGCAGCCGTACTCTCTCACACAGGGCTGGGTGCACACGGGAGCAAAGACACCCAGGGCCCCAGAGGCTGGCTTGTAGGACAGTGCAGGCTGAGGGGCTCAAGGCGCTGAGGCTGCCTTCGATACTAGATGGACATGGGGGTGGCAGCACTGGGGGAACCTGAGCTCAGTGGGTGCTGAGTGCTGGACAGAGGTCTGGGGGAGCCCTTCCTCTTTCCTGGGGACAGCTCAGGCCCTAGGGACAGCTGCTGAGGGGGATGGGAGGATGAGAGATGCCGCCAGATGCCCTGGGAGAGTTCAGGGGCCCCAAAGCCCTCCCACCTCCCCACTAGGTTGTGTCTCACACACACCAAGTTTTCTGACAGACAGGGGGCACCCTAGGACACCCAAGCCTGTCCCTCAGACAGTGCAGGGAGGCAGCTTGAGTGGGACACTGGGATGTGCACCCCAAGAGGTGGCCTTGGGGATTTGGCCAAAGGAAAGGAGTGGGCAGGTGGCAGTGGGGAAGGAGATGAGCCAAAGCCAAAGGCTGATGCTCTTTGCCCTGGACCTCTCACCTTCCACAGCTACCTCCGGCCTATCCCAGCCCTGTCCCCAGGTCCCATGTCTGTTCCCAGCCTCCAGGCCCATGGCCCCCAACAGCCTCAGTTCTTCCACACCCTGTATGGTGCTTGGGTTGAATCACCCCTCCTCAGGATGTCTGAATGAAGCCTGGCTCAGGCTGAATGACACCCAGGCCCTCCCCTGGGTGGCAGCCTGGCCTGACCGGCCTGCGGGAACCCCCTTGGTGGAGCCGTCATCAGGGCCATAAAGTGGGTGGCACCTGCCAGGTCAAAGTTCGTCTCTGAGGCAGGAAAGGCCCAGCTCTTGACTGTAGACTGCCAGATCTTCCGGCAGGTGACAGCCGCCAAGATGGGGGCCAGGGCCCTGCTGTGGGCCCCCCTGCTGCTGCTCCTGGTGCCGCCCAGTCAACTCCCAGGGGCAGCAGCCCAGGGCCAGGGTAGGTGCTGTCAGGACACGGGGGTGGGTGCATAGCAGGGGTGGCAGGAGCCAACCATCCTCTCTGCCTCCAGTCTGCTCAGTGGACAAGACCTTGATCAACATCGAGGAGAACAGCAGCCCCAGGCCCCTGGTGAACATCTCTGTCCCGGACGGCCAGCACGTCACCCTGGGATCTTCGTCCACACCCTCTGCCTTCCAGATCCTGGGGAACGAGCTATTCCTCAACGTGACCCCTGATTATGAGGTGCGGGCAGTAGGCTGGGTTCCCGTGGAGAGGATTTGGGGAGAAAGGCTGGGGCTTCAAGGGTGACAGTGATGGGAGCCCTGGGGGCACCTGCCGGTTGGACTGGGAGTCACAGACCTGTGTGGCCCACAGGAGAACACCATGCTGGAGGCTCACCTGGAGTGCAGGAGGGGCAGCACAGTGGTGAGTCCTCCCTGTCACCCAGTCACAGCTCCCCAGGGGCTCCTCTGTGACCTCAGCCTGCCACTGTCAAACATCAGCCTCCGCTGACTACGCCCACACTGCTTCAGCTCAGACTGTGCCCTGAGCTTTGGACCCACACACCCAGCCAAGGACCATCCCAACGTCTGCCAGGCATCCCGACACCAGCCCCACACTGACACCCTGAGGGGCCTCCGTGGTGCTTGGGGAAGCTGTTCTTTCCTCCTGCCCCACCCCCACCCTGCACATCCTGCACAACAGTTGGACCTGGGCCCATGCTCTCACTGAGTCCCTCCAGGGCCTTGGCCTTGTGCGTCCTCTCTGGAATCTTCCCTCTAACCTGCCTGGTCCACCCCCTCCCTGTGCATGATGAGCCCAGCCTAGCCCAGAGCTTCCTGGCCTGTCTCTAATTGCAGTCAAAGCCAAACGTCGGCACAGCCTGGGACACACATTTCTCTTGCCTCCCCTGTCCTGCATTGGAAGCGACCCCTCTTGGGGTGCTGGGGCCACCCTGCCTTGTGCCTACCCAGGCCCAGTCCGCTCCATTCTTAGCTTCTCACTAGGGAAATGTTCAAAGATAGGTTCACAACCCAACCCTGCTTCCAGCATGTCACCTTCAAGACCTCGGTATGTGTCCCTAACAGGTAAGGATTCACTCCTTAAATGCAACCTTGGGGGCTGCTGTGTGATGTGCACCAAGCCCCAGGTTCTAATCCTGGTCCTGGGAGAGTCAGAGCCCAAGCAGAGCCCACCTGACGACCTGGCTCGTGTTCCCCCAAAGTATCTTTAAAGTACTCAAGTCTGGTTTCCTGGGTTTGTTCTTGAAGATGAGAGGGTGTGGGCTGTGCTGGGGTCCTGCTGGTCTCTTTCAGACCCCACTCACTTCCCAGAGCACTGGCCCCTTCTGCTGAGCCTCGCCGCTCACTTCCTGTTCACTGTGAGCCCTACCTGGGCCTGGAGCCCTGTGGGGGTCTCTTGCAAGCCTAGCAGCAGCTGCTGGGTGGACCTGGGAAAGAATGACTGGAAGGAGTGAATAGAGGAAAAGGGAGGAGGAGGAGGAGGCCAGGAGCACAGCTGCACTGCCTGGAGGGACCGGGAGGCTGACAGGCTGTGGTCCGCAGGTGACACAGCTGGTAGTGCTGGTGTCCGTGCTGGATGTCAACGACAATGCCCCAGAGTTTCCCTTTGAGGTCAAGGAGTGGGACGTGGTGGAGGTGAGTTGGGCAGCCAGAGCTGCTGCCACCTGGGCCTCTGCATGTGGGTGGAGGCCAGGAGCCCACCCTGTCACTGGAGGCCAGGAGCTCACCCAGTCCAACTGAGTCCCTCCCTGTCCAGGACACCAAAGTGAATTCTACAGTTATCCCTGAGGGCGAACTGAAGGCCACCGACAAAGACAAAGAGGATGTCTTGTACTACACCCTCCAGGAAGTGACCCCGGTTAGTGCCACTCTGCCCCCAAACATGGACCCTGTGGCTGCCCATCCTCCCTTCCAGGTCTCAGGCAGTTCTTCCCCACCAGAATGCCAGCAGCTTCTTCTCCCTGATGGGGGTGAACCGCCCTGCCCTGCGGCTAGACCGGTCCCTGGACTTCTACCAGTGGCAAGGCATGACTTTCCAGCTGCTGGTCCGGGTAAGGTCTTGTGTGCCCAGCACATCAGCTCTGCCAGGGCCCCATCCCAGTGGATCCCAGCCTGACATGGCAGGGGCTGCTCTTGCAGGACACACGGGAGAATGTGGAGCCCAGCCACACAGCCACGGCCACCCTGGTTCTGCATGTGCAGCCGGCTGACCTGCGGCCACCCTGGTTCCTACCCTGCTCCTACTCAGATGGCTATGTCTGCATTCAGGCCCAGTACCACGGGGCTGTCCCGACAGGGCATATACTGGTAATGGAGGCCCAGGGGAGGGCTGTCCCATGGGACACTAGGGAGGGGCAGCCCCGGTCCAGAGTGGGTGTTAGGAGGCCCAGGTGGGGACCAGGTGATGGGAGCGGTTTCTCCTTTGCTCCTGAAGCTGATGTGTACAAACTTCCTCAGTGAACGCGGCCTTCAGCTTTGGGTGGTGGGTGGACAGGAGAAAGCCCCAGGGAGGCCTGGGGCCTGGCCAGGATGTGGGCCCTGCAGCCTCAGGCTGGTGGCCCCAGGGCAGCTGCCCCTCGGCCCAGCTTGAGGCCACTATGTGGCCAGTAGGAGCCTGAGCTTGCCAACAGGCAGATATCTGGCCATGGGGACCCCAACCCCTCCAAGAGCTCACTCACCCAAAACATGGGCCCCTCTGTACCAGGTCCATAAGGTTCCCTGTCCCCACAGCCATCTCCCCTCATCCTGCATCCTGGACCCATTTATGCTGTGGATGGGGACCGGGGCATCAACACACATATCAGATACAGCATTTTGGGGGGTGAGTGAAGACCTGGCCCAGCTCCCCACGCCACGAACCCTGCCCCATCCCAGCTCAGACCCTGGGCCTCGGTTCTAGGGACCAGCCCTGACTGCTTCACATCCCTGCAGGGAACACGGACAACACTTTCGTCATTGACCCAGACTCTGGCAACCTCACCATGGCCAAGATGGTCCCCAGGGACACCACCTTCATTTTGCTGATCCGGGTGAGTGCATCGTGGGGTGGCTAACAGGAGTCTCAGTTCCACCGTCAGTGCCCTGCTGGTTACTGTTGCCTCCCGTCTCCCCAGGGGGACCAGGCCGATCAGGCCCGTTACTCAGTGACCCAGGTAACCGTGGAGGCCCGCTCTGCAGCTGGGAGACCGCCTCACTTCCCCCAGAACCTGTACCGCGGCATTGTGGCTCCTGGCTCTAGCGCTGGTGTGGTTGTCAGGGACACAGCCTCCCCTTCCCAGCCTCTGAGGATCCAGGCACAGGACCCTGAATTCCCAGTAGGCACCCCCTATGCCCCAAGACCTGGGCGGGTCCCTGTGTTGGATTGGTCTCCTGTCTGTGTGGGTGGCTTGGGAGGGACCTGGGGTAGGTGAGGCCCAGTACCACTGTGGCATGTCCAGGGCCTCAACTCAGCCATCACGTACCGAATCACTAACTGCTCTGAGTTCCGGATGAACGGAGAGACCGTGTTCACAGCAATGGCACTGGAGCATGAAAGAATCTTCTACGCAGAGGTGAGTTGGGAGGCACGTCCCAGGAAGCAAGGTACAGAGTCTCAGTGAGGTCAAGCACCCTTTCTGCCCCAGGTGGAAGCCACAAACACTGTGACCGGTGACACAGCGACTGCCATTGCTGAGATTTGGGTTTCAGAACAGGCACCCCCCTCCATAGGTGAGTCTTGGGGATCGCCAGCTTGGCGGCTCTTCTACTGGGGCAAATGGGGAAAGGTAAGCCCAAGTGCTGTCCCTGGTCCCCCAGGACCCCCAGAGATCCCTCAGACCCCAGAAGCCGGAGGAACCACCAGGCCCTTGACCAGCACTGCTACAGAAGCCCCCAGACCCCCTGGGACCTCTCCAGGACCGCCTGTGACCAGCCTTGAGGGGGCCACTGGCTCTCACCCATCCTTAGGCACAACCCTAAGTCTGGCTGCTCCTACTATACCTGGGGGGCTCCCTGCTATGGGAGCCAGCACCTCCCCCTTGCCGGCCACTCCCAGTGGGGTCTCAGCTCAAACCCCAAAGCCAGGGACCTCCTGGGCAACAACCCCCAGGGTGGCAACTGGCTCTTCTCTACGGCCAGCCATTCCCGGGGGAGTCTCAGATCAGACCCTGAAGCCAGGGACCTCTCAGCCGATGTCAGCTGGGTCCAGCAGGAGCTCCCCAGCCTCAGGTAGAGTCTTCACTCCACCTGGCCTTCCTGATCCAAGGCTTTGGGTGGTCCTGGGGATGTTCTGGGAATGGGTCCACCCAGGCTGGCCCAGTCTGGCCACACTAGGAACCCAAGGAGGGGTCTGACCCTTGGGACGGCAGGGTCCAGGGCCTCAAGAAGATAGAAGGGCAGCAGCTAGATGTGGGATCTAGTGAGCCCCACAATTCTCAGGGCTGTTTGTAATTTAGGTCTTAAAATCCAAAGTACTGCTATAAAGATTAGGAAATCACAGGTTGGAAATGAAGATTGCAAGACTGAGTAGGACGTGGTGGCACATGCCTGTAAGCCAGTCCTGGGATGGGAAGCTGAGGCAGGAGGACTGACTACCAGGAGTTCCAGCCCAACCTGGGCTACATAGTGAGCTCAAGGCCATCCTGCACTACAAAGTAAGACCCCCTCTCAAAAAAACAAACAACAAAAAGATGACATAGGCCGGGGGAGATAGCTCAGTAGAATAAGTGTTTGCCTGGCAAGCACAAGGTCCTGAGTTCAATTCTCGTTACCGGAAAAAACAAAACAAAAAATGATGACACAGGCAAATGCAGTGTACTTTCTGTCTCAGCTGCTCTGGAGGCTGAGAAAGGAGAATCACCTGAGCCCATGAATTTGAGGCAGACTGGACAACACAGTGAGACACTGTCAGAAAAGATGGTACAGGGGCCGGGGAGATGGCTCAGTGGAATAAGTGTTTCCCCAGCAAGCCACAAGGGTCTGAGTTCAATCCCCGGTTCCATCAAAAAAAAAAAAAAAAAAGAAAAGATGGTACAACTTACTTGGGGAGCTCAGCACACAAGAAGGTTACATGTGTAGGACAACACCTTCCTGAAGCCAGGATGGAAACCAAACCAGTTTCCCAGGGAAGCCTTGGTAGGTTTGAGGTAAACAGGCCAGGTGCCTGGTGTGGAGGCCACTGGGCATGGTCACTGGGACACATTCACAGAACCCAGGAGCCACACCAGCTATCCACAAGGAGATATCTGCAAAGAAACTGGGCAGATGGGGCTGCACCTGGTCTAAGTAAGGTGCTAGTGAGCTGATGTGGAGGCCACAGAGTGTCTCTCCCCTAGGTCAGCCAGACTCCTACACTGCCCTCCTGCAGTGGCCTCCTGGGCCCCACTGTCCCCAGAGGGTCTCGTGGCAGGACACAGCACTCACTCCCTGGAACCTCAGTTCTGGGGGACAGTCCCAGCCTGACTTGTTTCAGGGTACGCAGGCTAGTGCAGGTTGGTGAGGGGAGAACCGTGTTCCTCCAACATTAAGTGGCCACGGGGCCTCTGCAGGGACACCAGGAGGTGGTGCCACAGCAGGAGGCAGCAGCCCAGAGGATCAGCGCTTCTCCACAGTGGACATGGCAGTTCTGGGAGGGGTGCTGGGTGCACTGCTGCTGCTGGCCCTCATTGGCCTGGCTGTGCTCCTCTCCAAGCACTACGGGCCCCAGCTGCTCTGCTGCTCCAGGAAAGCTGCGGTGAGCCTGGGGCCAGGGCAGGGATGCAGGTCATGGGGCAAGGATGGGGCGAGGGGGAACAAAAGATGGGAGGTGGGGAGTGACTGTACTGGGGCAGCGATGGGGCAGAGGAGCGGGAGTGCAGGGCGGGCTGTGGAAGCTGGAGCCCGTCTGCTATCCCTGATGCCCTCACTGGCCCCCAGCAGCTCCCACCCCACGGCTTTGACAATCAGGCCTTCTTGGGCGACCACGAGGATACCAAAGCATCTGCCCCTAGCCCTACGCCAGACCCCATGCCTGTGGAGACACTGTGTGCACCCCCAGATCCCGAGCCCCTCAGCCACAAGCAGCCCAACCCTGAGCCCCAGGTCCTGGAGCCCCCTGGCCCTGAGTCCCCTGTGGCTACCAGAGGCGCTGGAGACAGCCCCTCGGCTGTGAGGTCCATCTTGACCAAGGAGCGGCGACCTGAGGGCGGCTACAAGGCCGTGTGGTTTGGGGAGGACATCGGGGCAGAAGCCGACGTTGTGGTCCTCAACACTGCTGAGGCTGGTGAGGATGGTGATGCCGGCTCGGAGGGCAGTGGCGAAGAGGACACGGACCAGGACAGGGGTCCCCATGACAAGCTGGGCAACTCTACCTATATCTAGCACTACCTGACCCTCTCTCCCCTTCCCTGTCATCCCTTCCCTACAAAATAAAGTGGCCATTCTAACCCTGGAGCCATCGTATCTCGGGTTTGCCATGAGTACTGGGCGGGTGGCGACGCCCACTGCTTTCAACCATAGAAGTGCGGACTGCGCCCTGTGCCCGGGTTGCTAGCACGTGTAACGTGATCCAGCAGGCGGCCCCGTAGCTCCTCCCAAGTTTCATTTCAGGCCCTGGACGTAATCCAGTCAACACCCCTGCTTCCCTCCACCTCCCAGGAAAGGGCCTGACTTGAGGTCGGCTTCCGCTTCCTTTCCCGGCATCCCCCCGGGCCAGGCCCCGCCTCCGCAGTGGGCGTGGCCAGGGACCCGTTCCCAGAGCACTTCCCAGCCTGCAGCCCTGGCTCCGCCCCAACAGCCCCCCCGCCCCTTCCCGCCCTCTATAAAACCTCTGCCTCTTTCCTCCCAGCGCTGAAACGTCCCGTTCCGGCGGCTCCGGTACCCAGGTATGCGCGACCCCAGACCCACAGGGAGCGAGGGGAAAAGAGCTGGGCCCCCACGGAGCCCTTGTCCGCCTACGGACAGCAGCTGGCGAGGGCAGCGCACCGAGAGGGTCAGGGCAGGGCGGCTGGAGCTGGGGCGGGGCCAGGGCCGGGGGCTGACCAGACCAGGGTCTTGGTTCTGGCCAGCATAGTGCCTTCAGGTGTGGGTGCAACTCCGCAGCGCCTCTGTTAGGTTTCGCTCTCCCCTCCTCCTCGGCGCAGCACTTTCTCTTTCCCCGCGGAGCAGTTTCGCTTTCGTGGCCTGCAGCCTCCCTCCCATCCCGCAGGGTCTCGCCTGTCACCGCTTGCAGGCCGGACGCTGGGCCAACACCTGTGGCTTCACGTGCGCACCCCCTCGCATCTGAAGTCATATCTGCAGCCACCTCGGCCCCAGAATCCACGCTGAGGTGGTTTCAAGTCTAATCCACATTTGTGACCCTGCATACCTGGTTACACCTGTGACACCTGGCCTCGATACCTGTGGCCACAACTGACACAGAACCTCGATCTCTCCGGTTGTAAAGGCCATAGCCTCTCACAGCCCCTGACCCCAACCTCGCAGCAGGAGTCATGGCCACGTCCCCCGAGAGGTGAGACCCTTGCCCACCTCGGCCGGCTCTGCACACGACGGCACTGGGCTAACCAGCATGGCCACCCCGCCCACAGGGCAGCGCAGCGCATACGCTTCGGAGAGTGGCTTTTGGGTGAGGTCAGCAGTGGCCGCTACGAGGGGCTGCGGTGGCTGGACGAGGCGCACACTGTCTTCCGCGTGCCGTGGAAGCATTTTGGTCGCAAGGACCTGAGCGAGGCCGATGCACGCATCTTCAAGGTGGGAACCAACCCTGTCCCAGAGCCCCCCATGCTGCCGGAAGTCCAGCCCCGCCCACGTTCTCCATCCCCCCCAGGCCTGGGCAGTGGCCCGAGGCCGGTGGCCGCCCAGCAGCAGTGCGGGTGGTCCGCCTCCACCCGAAGCTGAGGCTGCAGAACGAGCCGGCTGGAAAACCAACTTCCGTTGTGCGCTACATAGCACGCAGTGCTTTGTGAGGAAGAAGGACAATTCAGGGGACCCCGTTGACCCGCACAAGGTGTATGCAGTCAGCCTGGAGCGGGGATGCAGAGGTGAGGAACACCCACAAAGGGCTGAGTCAGCGGGCTTCAAGGTAGCCCTGGCGCTAGAAATCCCCGACCTACACGGAAGGGAGCTGGGGCCCAAAGCTATGCCATCTCTACCTAAGACTAAGAGTCGGGGAGTCGGGGACTGGTCTGGGAGGCTGCCAGACACCTGGGCTGCTCAGGTGCCAGGTAATTGGGGAGGGGACAAGGAAGCCTGATGTTGGTCTAGTCTCAGGTCCTCAGGCCACTCCCCTTTCCCCCTCAGAAGGTCCAGCCACAAACCTGGGGGAGGAAGAGCCACTAAGAGGTGCCCCGCCCACACAGGTAGTTTCCAGCTCTTCTGGGGTGGCAGAGTTGGGAGCTTCTCACACTGATGGTCTTCCTGTTGCAGGGTGGGCACTTGGGTTTTGTTTTTTCTTTTTTTTTTTTTTTGCGGAACCGGGGATTGAATTCAGGCTCTTGCACTTGCCAGGGAAGCACTTACTCCACTGAGCCATCTCCCCAGCCTTTGGGGCTGCTTCTGCCAAGAGATGCTGAGCCCACTGGTCCAAACCGTCTACCCACCCAGGATGGTGCTATAGGGAACCTCCTGCTCCAGGTTCTGCAGCAGAGTTTCCTGGGGGAAAACTTGCAGGAAGCTAAGCTGGTGACTGTAAACCCAGCCGCCCCACCGCAGGCTCCTGGTGAGGGGCCATGCCCTGTGGGTGGCTGGACCTGCGTCTGTGTCAAGAACTGACCCTTGTCCAGAATGTGGGTACTGCAGGCTGGGGCACCATCAGGGAGTGGTCCAGCAGTATCCATATGGGTCACCAGCAGGGTAACCTGAGCATTCCTGTCACAACAGGCCTGGTGAAGCCTCCTGAGGAGCCACTTGCAGCATGGGCAGTGGAGCCCATGTCCTGCCCTAAGCCACAGTTCCTGGCCCTGGCAACAGAGCCTAGCCCAGGGGCCCTGGATGTGACCATCATGTATAAGGGCCGAACAGTGCTGCAGAAAGTGGTGGGGCACCCCAGCTGTGTGTTCCTGTACAGCCCTCTGGGGGTAGGCAGCGAGGCCCTGCAGCCCCAGCACGTGTTCTTTCCTAGCCCTGCTGAGCTGCCAGACCAGAAACAGCTGCATTACACGCAGAAGCTGCTACAGCATGTGGCCCCTGGGCTGCAGCTGGAGCTGGGTGGTGTGGCACTGTGGGCCCGGCGCATGGGCAAGTGCAAGGTGTACTGGGAGGTGGGCAGCCCACAGGGTTCTGCCAGCCCCTCCACCCCAGCTCGGTTGCTGGAGCGCAACTACAACACCCCCATCTTTGACTTCAGCACCTTTTTTCGAGGTGAGGCCTGGTGAGGGGTCTGCCTGGATGATCCTGGGACCCTGCCACCCACCCTGCTTACCCAACTCCTCCTGCAGAGCTTGAAGAGTTCCGGGCCCGGCAGCGCCAAGGATCACCCCACTATACCATCTACCTGGGCTTTGGGCAGGACCTGTCAACAGGGAGGCCCAAGGAGAAGAGCCTGATCCTGGTGAAGGTGAGGCAGGTGGTCCTGGCATGCAGTCCTAATGATCCTGAGGTGCCCTGACAAATAGCCTCCCTACAGGTGGAGCCAAGACTGTGCCGGACATACCTGGAGGTTGTGCAGCGTGAGGGTACATCCTCCTTGGACAGCAGCAGCCTGGGCCTGTGCCTGTCAAACACCAGCAGTCTCTATGATGACATTGAGCATATCCTCATGGAGCTGGAGCAACCAGCTGCCCTAGGCTGGAACCTCTGACCCCAATAAAGAGCCAAGAGCCAGTGCTACCGTGACTCAGGTGGTCTTATGGGTCTGTGCTGGGCTCTGGCAGGGCCTGGACTATTCCTTATTTTCCCACAAGACCGGCTGGGACCCCACCTGGGAAGAGGTAACCCACAGAGCACACTGCAGGCCCCCATGCAAACCCACCCCTTTATCCTACTGATAGAGAACTAAACCACACACCTTAGAGACAGGAGGCTACTGACTGGCCAGGTGCCCTGGGGAGTGTGGGCAACATCATGTGTCCTGTGCCCCAAGCCTCCTGGTCCTAAACTCTGAACCCTTCCTCCTACACAGCTGCTGGCGAAGTACAACCTCGCAATTATAGCAGCAATGGGAAGTGAGGCATGGTGGTGCATGCCTGTCTGTACACCCAGGACTTGGGAGGCTAAAGCAGGAGAATTGTTCCAAGTTTGAGACCTGCCTGAGCTACAAAGTGAGACAAAGCCAGCCTGAACTGCACAGTGAGACCATCTCAAAAAGCCAAAACCAAAACAATGGGAAGTAAAAATAAGTGTCCCGCTAACCCTACCATGGAGGATGGGTACAGGCCTGAGGGATGGGTCTAAGCCCTGTTCACCAGGCGCCTGACCTATAAAGGCTTCACCTTCAAGTATTGAGTCACAGAGATTTCTAAAGATAAGCCATTTTTGATAAATTAGAACACAATGGAAACTATAATATACATATAAAAAAGTCCAGTTTTAAACTGAGCAAAACTGGTGCAGATGATGTCACAGGACCCCCACAGGCAGGAGGCTGGTTAGCTCGGTTGTGCCTTGGACCAGGAAGCAAGACAGAAATGTCTCAGGCCTCCGTCCCTGGGGCAGGGGGCTCCTCAGTGGCCTCCACCTTCCGGTGCCGGCGCATGTGCCTGTACTTGTCCACGTAGGCCTTTACCAGGTTGGCCACCTTCACAGGATTGATTTCACCACTCTTGCTGTGACAGATCTGGAGAAAGATGGGACACCCAGATATTCAATCACACCACTGCTGCTTGCTCTGCCACTACACAGCTGGCTGAGGGTCCCTATGTGTCCCAGTCAGGAGGAAGCCTGAGACCTGTCCCCTAACCAGTCTCCTCTTAGACCTGCTTTCCTACCTGTAGGATAGGTGTGGACCAGGCAACCCTAAACACCCTCTCCATTACCTCAGTCTTTCCATGGACACAGGGAGATGGGTTCACTGCCACTGGATGGCCCACTGCTGCACTCACAAGCCCCTTGGAAGCTGCATCCATAGGAATGCAACAACCTACCCACCGTAAGACCACTGGCCATTCCTCAGGTCCACAGCATAGCCTGCCCATAGCCCACCTTCTGCACAGCTTTGCGTAGGATGTCCTTGTACTCCTCCTTGGTCACTTCCCGCTTCTGGTAGAAGGGCTTGATAGCCAGCTTCACCTCCTCCACTGCCCGCTCCTGCATGTGCAGCTTCTTCATGTACTGGGAGCAAGGACACACATGTGCCTGAGGCCCAGGACCCTGGCTGCCCTCCAGCCCAAGAGTATGAAGGGCAACACCAGTGCTTTCTACCATTGTACTTATCCGAGAAAGGCAGTTCTAGGCTGGGGTATGACTTGTGGTCTGATCCCCACTACCAAAAAAGAGAAAAGAACAAACCAAACCCTCAGATTTCAATGGGAGACAAGACCAGGGCACACTCACCTCCTCTTTCTTTGTCTTCTCCCCAGCTGGCCTGGGAGTGGAAGTTCTCTCCTCTGAGTTACTGTTGGTGTTGGCCTGGCTGGCTGGCTCTGAAGCTGGGGCCAGCATGGTGGTCACTGGGGCCAAGCTCTGTGCAGGCCCACAGCCCACCAAGGGCAGGCTGCCCTGCAGGAGGAACTGGACTGAAGGCTGGCTGACCAGGGCGTGAGGTGGGAAGCCAGAGGGCTGGGATGGGGCAGGAGGCATGCTAGGGCTGTACACCTGAGGACAACAAACCTATGAGTACACAGCCCCATGGGAGCCCACTCCGAGCCCACAGGGCTCGGCCCAAAGGGCTGTAGTGCCCTGAGAGAGGTGGCACCAGCCCAGCACTCACCTGCGAGGGGTCCATGCTGGAAAACCCAGGCTCTAGGAGTGCCTGGCCAGAAGGGGGTGGCTCAGGGAACAATGCATGCTTGGCACCCATGGGGATCCCGTCCTCTGTGCTCCAGGCTCCTTCCCAGGGCTTCTGTGGCTTGTGAAGTGGTATCCCTGAGAATCCAACACAAGGTGGTCAGTGCCCCATGCTCTGCCCTGGCCAGAATGCTATTTCCTAGCTGGAAAATGCCAGGTACCAACCCAACTCAGGGGGCTCAGGTCAGGAACAGGACTTGAGGTTTAACCAAGGAAGTGGGAGTTTGGAATGGCTACTTCTTGGACCCACCCACAGAGAACATGAGAACCAGCAGTCCCAGAAAGCATATACTCACTTGGAGCCTGGTCCAAGGCCAGGGTGCTGCCTTCAGCCTCCTGAAGGTTCCAGGTGACCCTTTTCACCAGGGCTCGGGACCGCAGCAGGGGCACCTGGGGCCCCTCCTCCTCAGGCCTGTCTGGCTCAGGAGCCCTCCCACTCACAAAGGGAATGTCCAAGCCCGTGGGCAACACACCCAGGAAGCCAGGGACTGTGGAAGCTGTCTCTGCCACGTCCTGCCCAGGCGGGTGCTGCCCTGGAAGGCCCTCTGCCTGGGATGGGGGCTGTAAAATGTCCTCAGCATGGATCACTGACACCTCCCTTGGAATGGTGGGCAAGGTGGCATCATGCAGCAAGCCAGCCTGAGACGACATAGGGTTAGGTGGAAGGGCCCGTTCTGGGGAAGAGTCTGTACTCTCCGGGGAAGGAGGTGAGCTCATGTCATCCAGCTGCATCAAGATGGCTTCATTTGAAAAGTCCTCAAAGAGGTGGCCAGCCTCGACTGAGTCGCCATAATCCAGGTCCTCGGGTACACACTGGGCTGGCACCTCAGGGACTGGAATGGGCACAGGGGTGGGGGGTAGGAGGGTCTCCTGGGTTGGGAGCACCTTGGGCATGACACACACCTCTGGCGAAGTGGGTGGCTTTCCTGGTGGGTCTCCCTGCTGCCTTGGCTCCTCAGAAGGAGACCTTGGGGAGGCCTCCCTCAATGTCCCCTTCTCCAGTGAAGGTGGTCGCACATCATGGATACCTGGTTGCAGGACCTCCCGTGCCCTCTGCTCAGAGCTAGGGGAGCGTGATCTCCACTTCCTCTTCTCTTGGGGCTGGGCCGTGCTCTCCTTTCTGTCCAGCCACTCACGGCTCTTCTCCCGTGGACGCTTCGGCCGCCAGGCCCTCTCCAAACTGCTGTGGGGGGAGCAGTCCCGCCCCCAAGGCCGAGATCCTGAATGGTGCCTCTTCTTTCTCCCTGTGTCATGGTGTTCACAGGAGGAACTGCCTGGACTGCCAGAGTGCGACCTAGACTTCCTCCGGTCCCGGCCCCATGAGCTCCGTCTCCGGTCCTTAACCCGGTCCTTGGTCTTCCTCCGTTTTGTTCTCTCCTGACTGCTGGCACGGTCACTGGAAGATCTCCTGCCCTTGGCCTTAGCCCGGTGCCTCCTGGCATGCTCCTCCACCACTGGTGACACAGATCGTGAGGCCCTGTCCCTGGAGCCTGAGGGAGACCGGGAGTGTGACCTCCAGTGTTCCTTGGACCTTTTCTTCTTGGCTTTCTTCCTGCCTCGGGAGCTGGAGGTGGAGCGGGAGCGGGATGGAGCCCGAAGTTCCACAATCCTGTGGGTGGTGGCCTGTGGTGCATCCACAGTAGGTGGAGTGTCTGGATCCATGATAGTCACACAGGTCACTGTCCGCTCCTCAGAGCTAAAGAAAGTGCTGTGAGACGCCTCGTCCTCATCGTCCCAGGGGTCCAGTGGGGATGGCCTGTGCGCCTGGCGGCGCAGGCCCTGGCTCTCTATGGGCCCTTCCTCCCCTGGCTCATGCTCTGTGTCAGAGGTGCCCTCAGCAGCCCCCTCACCCTGGAGCTTGCACATGTGCGATGCAGTCTCGACAGGGGACTTGGGCTCTGTTCTGAAGACGCCTTCCACTGTGTAAGAGGTAACACAGCGCACAGCCTGAAATGCAGGGGCCTTGGGGCTGTGAATGGAAATGGTTCTTGTAATCTCAGAAGGCAGCAGGCTGGGACCGAGATGCTCAGGGCTGCTGCTAGGGGGACTGGAGTCAGAGCCTGTAGGGTCAAAGGGATCATAGATCTCACTCTTGAGCTGCTTGGTCTTCTTGATGGAGAAGAGCGGTGAAGGGCTCTCCTTCCTTTGCACCTTGCTGTCTACAGGCCGGAAGGTGTTACAGAAGCCTGGACTGGACAGTCGGCTGCACTGTGCTGTGTTCCCCGGGATGTTGATACGGAAGCTCTCAAAGGTTGACCCAATGCCCTTTCCTCTTGAGGTCCCCAGTGGGGCCAAGCTGCTGTGACAGCTGGGGGCGGGGGAGTGGGAGCCACCAGTATTGGAGCTGGACTCCTGGGGACCCCTGCTGCTAGGTTTGCCCTCTGCCCGGCCTTGCCCAGGCTTCCCAGGCCCTTCCCTGCCTGTCAGACGGCTAATGCAGGTGCTAGGGATCTCAATGCTCTGCCCATGGGTCGGGGCTTTGTCCTGTCTGCTGTTATCACGATCCCTGTGGAGCTTCGGTATCCTGGGCAGCTCTGAGATGTTAGCTCTCCTAGGAGAGAGGAGGGCCTGTCCGAGGGCTATCCTTTTAGGTGGAGAGTTAGAGTGGCCACTGGAACTCTTAGCTGACACAGACTGAGGAGGCACCCTCAGCCTGCTGATACTATTACAGCCAAGGGCGCCACTCTGCTGCAAGCCAGGCCCACTGCCATCTGACGGGCTCTGCTGAGACTCAGGCACTGGTGGCAAGTCCTGCTTCACAGGGGGCTTGATGAGGGCACAGGCATGGGGAAGGGTCGATCCACCTGTGCAGCTCCCAGAGCCCTGCAGTTGGTCTTCCCTGAGCCCCCCAGCTGTGCTCCTGGAGGCTGGCACTCTGGACTGTAGGCCACTCCCAAGCCTGGATGTTTCTTCCCTTCTGCACAGACCCTCTGGCCTTCTCTGAAGAGAGGCTGGAGCTGAAAGAGAGATCAGACAGCAGCCATTCCCATTTAGCAGCTCAGTGATTGTGAAGGTTCTCAGCAGGCTGAACCACCCCTTTGCTCTGTCCCACCTGCCTGTGACAGGCTCCTATTGTCTGGCCAAGGCCCCCGACCCCCTTTTGACCAAGTTCTTCTGCTGTGTGGGTCACTATCTCTGAGGCTAGATTGTGTTCTGCCCACGACCATGCTGGCTATTAGCTATACAGAAGGAGGGTCTGTGAGCTTCCCAGGCAATGCTGGCCTCATCTAACCTAGCTCAGGGGTGCTGAAACTACAGAGAAAATCACAACCTGCATCTCTGTGTCCTGTGATGGAAACCTTGAACCATTAGTCACACGTAGAGCACAGCCTCCAACACAGCAAATGCTTACAGGCCCTCACCTGCCCGCTTCACGCTCAGGGAGCCATCTCGGTGGATGACGACATCAGCACTGCTCATCATCAGGAGGCTCTGACTTGACAGGATGCTGCCCAGCAGATCAGGGACAGGGGACACCTCCATGGCTGGCTCTGGGCCCGCAGTGGGGAGCTGCCTCCTGTGGGCAAAGACCCACTGCCACAGCTGGCCCTTGCCAGCCTGTGTTCCCCTGGGAGGGGTCCTTACCCAGCAGTGTGAACACCAGACACTGAGCAAAGTCACTCAAATGCTGGCCCCACTGCCTTACTCTTAGCAGAGTAAAGAGGTGAGGACCTCCACCACTCTGCTGTTTGTTAAAAGAGTGACACCTAAGAATCTGGCCAAGTGATCACTCCAGCAGGAAGGCCAGCTATGCTCCCTGAGGGCACACCCAATCTTTGGAGCCACAGAGAGGGACCCTGCCACAGCCCCCCAAGTCTGCTGCCACACACCTTGAGAGCGCCACAGAGATGGGCCTGGCCACAGGCTGGTGAGATTGCATGGCCGAGCGGGACAGAGCCCTCCTCTTGGCACTCAGAGGAGAAGGGGGTTCTGCAGACAGCTCTTCAGTGCTGGAGAAGACACATACCAAGGGGATGGTGACCTCTAAGCTCATGTGCTGCTTGCGTGAATCTGAGAACGACCCAGGGTAGGGAGCACTACCCTCATTTTACAAACTCAAGACCTAAGGCTGATCCGTGCCCACAGCCCAGTGATGACAGGAGGTGGCAGGCACAACCCATCCAATCACCTGTCAAAGGGGTCCAGCTCATAGGGGTCCCCAAACAGTGAAAGAGCAGCTGCTCCAATATCTGCCCGCATCAGCGCTAGCGAGGGATCCACTGGGCGGCACATAGATGGCATACAGCAGCCCTGGACTGGCCTGCGGAGACCCAGCATCCGAGCAATACGAGAGCGAGCTGTGACTTCCCTCTGGATGGAAGTAGAGAAGGTAAAGGGCAGGTCAGCCAGGCCAAGTTCAAGGCACCCAGCACACACCAAGACATTGTGCATTCAGCAGTGCTCACAGCAGTCCTGACAGTTCACCTACATCTACACCACACAGACTCTGCAGGTAGCACTGTCATGTGGCATTTGAAGGAAAAACCCCCAAAGAAGCAAACAAAAATCCAGCCAATGATGACAGAATTATGTTAACAAGGACTTCTGGAAAAGCAGGTGTGGACCCTAAATATCATCTCAGCTAAAATTACTCCTAAACTGCTAAAATAAAAATAACTACTTCCTCCAGATCCTAGGCCCTCCAGTGGGGACCTCTCCCAGAGCAGCATAACCCCACACACCACCCTACATGCAGGTTCAGGAATGGTCCCAGACTCTCCCAGACTCTAACCACCAAAGAAAGAGCAGAACTAGAAACATGTAGAAGCAACAGGGCAGTTGGGGGAGCCCAGGAACACCCTGGCATGTGCTAGGCACTGCCCCATAGCCCTTGCCTGCAGCACCCCACACTGTGCACACATGCTCTACCTTTATATAAACCAACACTATAAAAATACATCTGGATTAAGAAATGAACAACGATTTTGAAGAGGAATTCACAGGAAGGCACCATAGACATGTGGCCAACAACTGAAACTCTGAATGAGGACAGAGGGCCTGGAAGGGGCCCAGGCAGGGCTGCTCACACACTAAAAGGACCCAAAGGCCAGCAAGGGCATCTGTCCTCAAAGTCATGGTGCCTGCTGCCCTGCCGAGGATCCTAGGCTGCTCCTCCATGGCACCCCTCTGCCCAGTCCACTCCTGCCCAGTCCCCTCCAGGACACCATCCGCCTACCACCCTGACTAGCCACTACCACGGGGTGGCACTTGGCCTGACAACAAGGGTACCACTACTCCCGAGGGCCTGGAGACAACCCCCTCCCCCCGGAAGCTGGTGAGGTCTAGTAGACCCCCCCCCCCAACCCATTGCTCTACCTTCATCATCTTCCCTTTTCTCTTCTTCACTCGATGCTGGCGTTTCCTGGATCTTGCACCTGCACTTTTACTTTTCACAGACAACTTGGCCCGGGTTTTCTTTCTTCCTGGCACTTTCTTCTGCCTCCCTAAAAAAAGATGCATTCTGCTGTGTGCTAAGCTGCTGATCCTATAAGGCCACCCAGACACCAGGCTTGGGAGAGCACCAGGGTAGTATTTTTTTGTAGCTGGCATTACAGTCTTAAGCCTTCACACAAGGTAGATTAAGTAGGCAGGGATGGTCCCAGACTCTCAGAAAGACAAACACAGAATACATTTATATTTATTTTTTTCTTCAGTGCTAGGGACTGAACCCAGGGCCTTGCACATGATTGACACAGATAAGTACTCTACAACTGAGCTAGCACTAGCTTGTGTGGGTGTGTGTGTGTGGCTATGCTGTGGCACACCACAGCCTTTTTAAAACTTTGGGACAGGTTCTAAGTTGCCCAGGCTGGCCTTAAACTTGTGATCACTGTGCCTCTGCTTTCAGAGTATCTGGGAGTTCAGGAGTGTACCATGATACCTGGCAAGAATATTTTGAAAACATCAATTAATTAGGGGTGGGGATAGGGCTCAGCAGCAGAGCACACCACAGCTTAGCAGGAAAGCACAAGGTCGTTCTGAGTTTGATTCCCTAGTACCATCAAAAAAATAAAACAACAACAAAATTACTTATTTATTTTTGAGTCCAGTTCTCACTAAGTAGTCCAGGATGGCCCGGAACTAGCTTGGTGATCCTCCTGTTTCAGCCTTCTGATTGTTGGGATTATAGGCACGCATCACTACGCCTGGCCAGGAGTAGATTTTTTTGTTTTGGCTACTGGGGACTGAACTCAGGACCTTGTGCTTACGAGGGAGGCATTTGTGCCACTGACCCACCTCTCCTGCAGGAATAGATTTTTTTAAAAAGGGACAAATAAACCACAGCCCTGAGTTTTAGGACAACAGCAGAGCAAGGTGAGAAGATGATTTGGCTTCCACATTCACACGTACAGCAGAAAGGAAATCCCAAACACTGAGGACTGGCAAGAGCCTAGAGCAACCACAGGCTAGCTACTTACATGTTGCTAACACCCACAGAAAATGGCACCAGGACCTGGAAGACACCTAGCAGCCTGTTCTCAGGTTAAGTGCATGTTCACCTGGCACTAAGCCTCCCCACTTCTCCTCACCACCTGTCGCTCACAGCAGCTTTACGGCTGAGTTCCAAGGGGAGACAACCCAGAGGCCCACAGCAGGCACAGGGTCCACAGACAGGCACATTCATCTGTCGGGCTCTTCCTTAGCAACAGAGACACTAACCAGACACAGGTGACAACACAGACTTCAAAGACACAAGACATCTCCAGATGCTATGATGTCAGCATGAAAATCTACACTGAAAGTGATAATGACAAGACACCACGCTACCAGCCTCTGGGCTGTGGGGTGGGTGCTTCAGGACACCACAGGATACTAAGACCTCAGGTCCTCCGGGCCCTTGTATGAAATGGCACCCTTGCACACATGTTGCATATATCCTGTGTACTTCCAATACACAACACCACATAAAGGTTGTGTAAATACTATTACTCTACTGTCTAGAAAGCAGTGACAGGAAAAGGTCTACCTTTTAAGCACAGGTCCAATTTTCCCCCGATATTCTCAATCTGTGGTTGGATGAAGCCACAGATGGGGAACCCATGAATATGGAGGCCAACTATAGTTTGGGTTGAGAAAATTAGGTTGCTAGGAAGAAGCAGAGATGACCATGGATTCAAACTGCAGGGCAGAGCTCTGGCAGGAGCACAGTGCCTGTTCCTACCTGTCTTCCTTTTCCGTCTGGCAGGGGTCCGAGGTGCCACAGGACGCTGGTACTCAGCTGTGCTCAGACCAGCTGCCACTGCCTCAATGGTCTCATCCAACAGGGAGGACATCAGGTACCTTGGCACATCCTACATAGGAAGGTGCAGAAAGGGTCAGCAGGTAACAAAACAGGTGGCCAGGTCCCCATGGCTGAGACCCTGGACAGGCTCACGCATAAAGCCCTGAGCAGGGTCCACCAAGACCAACAGAAGCTGCCTCTCAGGCTCCTCTGCAGAGCCCAGGGCCAGCAGGGCCATGAGGACAGGGGCTCCCAACCAAGCATCCAACACCTGAATGGCAAGCTGAGACAGTAGACAGGTCCTGGAGCACAGATCTCAGCTGAGGGGCAGAAAAGGACAGATGGGAGCCTGGTGGGACCAGGGAAAGGGTGGACAGGACAGAGAACTGATCTGGGGGACAAGAAGTAGCTACCCATAGACAGGGTGGACACCAGGGAAGCAGGGAACAGCCAACCTGGGCACACACAGGTAGGGCCCTGTCTCCCCGACCCACATGGAACCCAGCTGCTCTGGTACCATGCTGCCCACAGACGCACACCTGATGTATACAAGGTGCTGCCACCTGACCCAGCAGAGTCCAGAGAGCACCTACCACAGCAGCCTGTGAGTGCACAAGTATAGTGCAGAGGGACACTCAGCATACCTGGGGTAAAGAACTAGCATGGACCTGGGTGTATGTCTGTGGATGGTGTAGACATAGGGTGGGACCCCCAAAGGCACCCCTGTCTCACACGTACCTGGACCAGAGCCCCAGCTGTTCTGAGGCTACACTGGCCTACAGTGAGGTATCACTCCCTCCAGGGCTGGCTACACAAAGGCCTCAAACCACGACATGCTGACTGCACCCTATCTAGATCTGGACTGGAAAACAAGCCAAGCAGGACATATATGGCAATGCCACCAACCTGGACCGTCCTAGCTGTGGAGATCCGGTTCCGATTCACTGTTGCCCTCACTCTCTCACTTTGTCTTGTCCTGGCGATGGCCCGGATCCGCCCTGTACGGGGCCGCAGTCTGCTAGTGGTGGGCACCACATCAGCCAGGAGCAGAGAGACCTCTTCTTCACTCACAGGGGCCACATCTCGGGAAAGACACCCACATCACGGTTTACCTGTGACTGCCCAGGCACACCAGGCCAGGTGACAGGACAGGGGCTTCTCCCTACAACTAGTCCTCCAGGCCTTGCGCATTGGTGTCCCCTGATCCACAACCACACCACAGCCTTGCAATGCCAAGTCTCCCCAGCTTCTGCACAAGGGGACAAATGAGCCCCAGAAGGCCCCCACCACTGGCCCTGCTCTCTGTCCTTCTCCAGAACCCCACCTATGGGATAAGACAGGATGGGCATTACCAGCAGAAGAGCCAGTGCCTGGTGTAGCACACTCTGGACAGAACCACTCATCAACGGGCACTTCCTGAAGAGGGGGGTCCAGACACTCCATGTGGTACCTGTGGAAAAGAGGGTACAGTATGTGTTCCAGCCCAGCCCTGGCCAGTAGGCAAGTTAAAAATGGCACTATGCCCACTTGGGTATGAACTACACCTGTGAGAGACTAACTGTCCCACTTGGCATATGATGGGGTACACACTTTGGTTGCCACCCACAGCTGCTAGAGCAGAACTCCCTCCCCAAAGACTCTGACCTTTCCTGCTGGCCCTGTGGAACACTGAGAACTCTTCTGACACTGGAATGTAACTTCTGTCCCACCTGATTTCCACATGCTTCCATGCCTCAGTCAATCCTGCCTGTGCAAGGGACTTGGAGGGCTTCTGGACAGCAGCATGTGCAAGGGTTGGAGGGGGTGTTCAGCAAAGGCATGGAGGCACCCACCCTCTCCTTGTGGCAAACATAAATGCTTCCCTCAGTTCTGGTTGCTGGTCCAGCACACAACCAAAAGCCTAGAGGGTATGTGGGAGCAATGAATAACCAGCAGCTCACTTAGCATGGGTGACAACTGAACTCCACTTGGGGATCTGACAGCACCTTGCCAGACACAGCTGACTTGATGGACGACAGGACCAGAGCGGATGGCAAGATCCCTACATCTGGAGTCAGAACACCCTCAATTTCCCAAGTTGAAGCCTCTGCTCAGGATGACAGCATCCAGACATGGGACTGGTGAGCCCTGCAGCACAGCCAGCCTAGAACATACTTAGAACTCTGTGCTTTCCAGGCAGGCACTTGTACCACTGATATAGCCCCAGCCAGAAAACAGACTTTTAACTTGATCTGGGGCTGGTGAGATGGCTCAGTGGTCTAAAGCACCTACTTAGAACAAGTTTAGCAAAGCACAGGGACCGCGGTTCAATCCCCTAGCACCACATGCCAGCCAGCCCCGCCCCCTGGTGGGCTGAGCTGGCCACACACAGAAAGAAAGAAAAAAAGAAAGAAAGAAAGAAAGAAAGAATGAATAAAATTTAACTTAGTCTGCGATCTTAAAACCAGAGACCTTGGGCCAGGGAGATGACTCAGTGGAATAAGTGCTTTCCTGGCAAGTGCAAGGGCCTGAATTCAATCCCCGGTTCTGCCAAAAAAACCAAAACCAAAACAAAACAAAAAAAGAGACTATCTGAACCTTACTTCATGTGACATCAGGGTCCTGACTCCACATGAACAGTTGAGCAATTTTAGTCTTCTGAATTAAGTCTTTTTTTTTTTTCTGTTTTTCTCTTTATTTTTATTATTACTACTTTTTTTTTCTATATTTAGGATAGAGTCTACAGGGTCTCACTACGTAGATCGGGCTCATAGTGACTCTCCTGTTTTTTCGGCTTCCCAAGTGCTGAGATTGCAGTCACTGTCTCTGCAGGCCCTGAGGACGGGGCCAACACAGCACGCCAGGGATCGAAGCTGGCCACCGGACTCTGCCTAAGCAGGCACTTTAGTCCGCTGAGCTGTCAGGCTTACCCTTCGCTCTTTTTTAAAGATCTGTCTTCTGGCCCCTCCCACAAAGAACCTCCAGAAACCCTAAGGTCAGTCATTTCACTTGTCTTTGTTGGTTGTTTTTCCTTTCTTTTCTTTTTTTTTGTGTGTGTGGTACCAGGGATTGATCAGGATCCTGCACTTGCCAGGCAGGTGCCTCTTCTGCTGAGCTGTCTCCCCAGCTGAATTAAGTCTTAATTGCAAGAAAATTTAGTTGGGGGCTGGGGAGATGGCTCAGTAGAATAAGAGCTTCCCTGGCAAGTGCAAAGGCCTGAGTTCAATCCCCAGTTCCACACACACAAAAAAGAAAAAAAGCAAGTTCAGCTAACTGTAAATGTTCCCAGTATGTCGATAAATACAAATATAAGGATACTATGATTATTGTTTTTTTGTTTTGTTTTGGGTCTTTTTAAGACAGGGTCTTGCTAAATTCCAGACTGGCCTAGAACTAACTCACCTTGTAGCCCAGGCTGGCTTTGAACTCACAGTTATCCTCCTGCCTCAGCCTTCTGAATGCTGGGATTACAAGCATGTGCCACTATGCCCAGCAATTCGTTTTAATATTTTAGATTCATCAGGAGTTTTAGATACTTGAGTTCTTTTATCTATTCAATAATTCAAGCACATAAAATCAACTCAATTTACAAATGAACTTTACAATACAAAGTTTTTAAATATTTATTTATTTATTTATTTGTGTGTGTGTGTGTGGCCAGCTCAGCCCACCAGGGGGCGGGGCTGGCTGGCATGTGGTGCTGGGGGATTGAACTGCGGTCCCTTGTACTTTGCTAAGCTTGTTCTAAGTAGGTGCTTTAGACCACTGAGCCATCTCACCAGCCCCCTACAATACAAAGTTTTAATAATTGTCAAACTCCACTACTAGAAGCTTACTGGAGCCAGGCATGTGGCACATGCCTGTGATCATAGCTGCTCAGCAGACCTGGGCAGGAAGATCAAATGCAAGGCCAGCAGCCTGGGAAATTCTGAGACCCTATCGCAAATAAAATAAAAATGTATAGGTATACAGCTCAGTACTTTGGAGTTCAACACCCACTATCACATACAAAAAAATTCCCCAAAACAAACAAACCAACCTTTAAAACCCTACGTAACCAAAAGCATATGCTGGGCTGGTGAGATGGCTCAGTGGTCTAAAGCACCTACTTAGAATAAGCTTAGCAGAGCACAGGGACCGCAGTTCAATCCTCCAGCACCACATGCCAGCCAGCCCCGCCCCCTGGTGGGCTGAGCTGGACACACACACACACACACACACACACACACACACACACAAATAAAATTTAAAAAAAATTAAAAAAAAAAAGCATATGCTCAGGGCAACCTATGGTGAACATATGCAAGAGTCCCAAGGAGGTGAGCATCTACAGGGCTGAGGCATCAACCAACTGTGACCACATGTGGGTTCCAGTGGAGCCTGCTAAGTGGCGAGAGAGACCAGTATAGGAAGGAGGATCCTGCAGAGGCTACATGCCTATAGCCCTCAGAGGCTCACAGGGATGAACAGGCCTTGTGTAGTGAGCACCTCCCACTGGGGTCCCTACACAAATGGCTGGGTGTACAAGCAGAACAAAGGTGGGCAAGTGTAGAGGAGTATGAACAGTGGGGTATGTGTGTGCTCCTGCAATTCTGGGGAGCTCCAGGCTCCCGACCAACCCAAGATTCCCAGGTCCACACTAGACCAATGCAGGCCCATGGTCTCCATGTCCCTTCCAATTTCCCCTTCCCAAGGACAAGGTCTCCATTACCCTCTCGCGACCCTGTCACATAGAAAAACTCCTCAAATCAATGCCCAAAGCCCCAGCACAAGGCAGGGAATCTACTGAAACCCAAAAACCCAGTGGGGACTCCAGCCAGAGTCTGCCCCAACCCTCTTGAGTATCAGCCCATGCAAAGCATCTGGAAGCAACCTGGGGTCACGCAGCGGTCAGAAACCTAAAGGATGAAGGTATCCAGGACAGCACAACCACGGAAGCCACTCCCACAGGGGCCCCAACCCACATCCACCCTCTTGCAGGAGGCCCACAGACTGTCTTTACTATGGGGATACATCAGTCATCCAGGGTTGGGGAGACAGCTCTGCATCATAAGCACCTGCCTGGCAAGTATAAGGTCCTGAGTTAGATCCCTGGCACAAAGAAAAAGGTAAAGGTGAAGACAGCAGGAGCATGGACAACCTGTGGTGGCCGCTGTCTATAGGGCTCAGCATAGCTGTAGAGACAGGCAAGCTCAGGGTCCAATAAGAGAAACTAAGCCAGACTTGGGGAACTCTGGCACCTCTATTCTGTACCCCTCAGACAGGCCTCCCCACTCTTACCCTGCGTCACAGCCATCGCAGAGAAGGAGCCGGTCCTCACGGTCACTCCTGCCACACACCTCACAAAAGGTCGGGTCCTCCTCCTCTTCCTCCTCACAGGCTCTGGTGTTCTCCACTGGCATCTGAAGACAAAACTGCTGGTCACACTCCAGACAAGACTCTCAAAACCAAGGCATCAGCCAGTTGTGCAGCTATCCAAGAACCATTTATTGGCTACCAGGTAGCATAGGCTTGGAGTCCTAACAGGACAGTTACACAACCCTTCACATTCTCTCAACCTTACGACAGGTAAGCAGAGAGCAAGCTGAACGTATACAGATGAAGAGAGGTGGAGGGAGATAGGCAGAGTACAGAATAAGGGCAGAGTTAAATAGCAGACACTGGAGCTCAGAGGTTGGGCAGGAGCACAGTGCAGCTGTAGGCACCCACCCACCCTGCAAAGGCCCTGGGCTCCAACCCCAGCACTATAGACACTGCTCAGAAACCAGTAACAGCTAAGCAAATGCTCAAAACCATGTTCTTGCAGGCTCATCAGCCCACAGTGCAGCTCACAAATAGCCCTGTACTTGGGCTCACTGGATATGACGCCAGCTCTAACACCACTAGCTTAGGAGGTCTAACTGCAGATAGCCCTGGTACCAGAAGTGCTAGCTGACACTAGCATGTTCAGTGTCCACATGTTCCTGAGCCTGAACTGCCCAGGCAGAGGACCAAGTGCAGAGACTGGGCAGGCATGCCTAAGCCAACAAGAAGCGGCCTCTAGGAGGCCAGTGCAGAAGGGTGCTCATGTCCCAGAGAAATCTGCACACAAAGGAGCTAAACTCCCCTGAACACGTGGGCTCTTGCACTTTGTAAATTAAAAGTAGATGTGACCCTCCCATCCTTTTTTTTTTTTTTGGTACTGGGATAAAAAAATAAGAAATAGATGTGGTAAGCATCTTGGTAAGTGCAGGGTCCTGAATTCAATCACCCAAAAAAATAAAAAGCATGCTCTTGCCACAAGCAGAGATATTAGGGAGCAGCATCTACACTTACCTTCTTTAAGATTTTACCACCAAACTGAGCTCGAATACAAATACATTTAAATATTGCTCGATCAACTGGACAGGAGTTTGCATTCTGTAAGACAATTATATTGGATCCTATGTCAGAAAATTATAGCGAGATCACTTTCACTACCAATAATAGCTTCAAAATAAGACATTCACTTAGATATCAAAAGTTCTAAAAGGAACTTTCAAAAAACAGAGGTTTGTACCTATGTTGTTTATTTATTATTTCTTGCCTATATCTCATGAGAAACTACTTTGGCAGTAATGATACACAATGTACTAACCATTGTTACTCTCCTAAAATCTTGTTTTGAGATTTTTTTTTTTTGAGACTTTGTACCATTGTTTTTATTTTTTTCTTTAAAATAACTGATGTCCAAAATAAATAAATAAATAAATAAATAAAAGGAACTTTCAGAACAAAAGTTCTAAAAGGCTACAACATGAGCTCAAGGCCAGCCTGAACTACACAGCAAGTCCCTGTTTCAAAAACAAACAAACAAAAAAAAAACCACCTCAGCTTTCCCAGGATGCGGTACTATCTGGAAGGCCGTTGGTATCTGTCTTCACCGCATGGGTGTTGGTCAGACTCTTGCAGCAAGCATTTTTCTCTTCTCATGGCCGTCACTGAGAGGCCATACACACAGAGCCAATACAGCACACTCGTGCTTAGCTGGGTGTCTTGGTGGTTCTGATGCATGCTCATCTCATGCAGCTAGTGCCCTGCTCTCCCCTGCCACCGTTTTGTGTCCTGCATTTCTTACAGAGTCCCAGCAAGCACTGATCATGGAGCTCTGCCCTCTTTCTCACTGAGCAGGGGCCAAGCTAGGTCCCAGACACTGTGTGTTTCTCTGGATGCAGCCTGAGTTCAATCCCCAATTCCACCAAAAAAAAAAAAAAAAAAAGTCTTATACACCTTTTTTTACTATTTGAGTCCAATTTTTTTTATTTTTTTTTCAAAATTTTATGAGTCCAATTTTTTTTTAATTTTTATTTATTTATGTGTGTGTGTGTGTGTGTGTGTGTGTGTGTGGCCAGCTCAACCCACCAGGGGGCAGGGCTGGCTGGCATGTGCTGGGGGATTGAACCGCGGTCCCTGTGCTTTGCTGAGTTTGTTCTAAGTAGGTGCTTTAGACCACTGAGCCATCTCACCAGCCCATTGAGTCCAATTTTTATCTTCATTAACCTTGTGCCCAGCAAGCCTGCTGAGAGCAGTTCAACACTCCCTTTTAATGACAAACATTATCCACAAATATCTCCTACCCAATCCTTGTCTCTTTTTTCCATTATCTAATAATTATCCAAAAGAGATGTTGGGGGGGTGGGGAAAAAAAAAACAAAAACAAAAGGAGATGTAGGAGATCAGATAATGAGATTAAAGCCTAACTGGCCTCCTCTGTGAGCACTAAGGAGACAAGTGGTGCGCAGGCTCAGGCAGCGTGCGGCTCAGGGGAAAGGTGAGCAGAGCTGGGACCCTGCTGCCACCTGGATGTGTGCCTCAGCTGAGGGGAGGCAGATGACTGCTGTGTGCTCCAACTGCTTGGACCCATGTCTGGGCAGATAAAGGCAGAGTGTGTTTGTCACCTGGGGCTCTGTCAAAGGGGGACACTTTAGCCTAAGTCTGCTCTTTTGCATCCTTCAAACACAAGCTCAGAGGCTGGCTGTTACAGACTGCTCAAACAGGGACCCCCACAGATCAGAGAAAGTCTAGACCAAAAAAGGAACTTGGGACCTGTAGCATAGGCTAGCCGGTGTGGACTGCTATAAGGAGGTACTTCTTTGGTGTGGGGGAGTGGTGGTAATAGGGCTTTATCATGCAGTTCAGGCTAGCCTTGAACTCACTATGTGGTCTTGACTGGCCTCAAACTTGCAGCAATCCTCCTGCCTCAGCCTCCCAAGCACTAGGATTACAGGTATTTGGCATTATACCTGGCAAAACATAATTTCTTATTCTTCAATTTAAATGAAGCCTTTGACAAAATTTAATCCTGAATCTAATCAGGACTGACCCACCATAAACAGAGACAGTCCAGAGTAAGAGATGCTCAAATGACAGCTAGTGTGCCATCTTTGTCACGTATGTGGCTTCATGGAGGCACGAACAAGGTCTACATTCTGCTTCAAACAAACTAACTACACGCAGACACTCCTGAGCTACCTGGGACATGGGTCAGGAGTGGAGGGTGCCAGAGGGCACGGCTGCTGACCTTGCTGGAGGAGATCTTGTTCCAGACTGCACTGCTGTTAAGGGAGGAATGAGGAGAGCAGAAAGGCAATCCTCACGGCCACCTGTGCAATAGTCTACTTCTTTAAAATCTCTCACAACAGTTTTATGTCTGTGATGGAGAAGCCAGTCTTCTAAAGGTTTGCTGTGGGTCTATAATGCCTGCATGTTTGTCTCTTCTCTTGCTAGCTGCTAAGCTGCACCCATAGCCTACTGTATCTATGAGGACACGGTGTTGGGCAGCACCTGCCCGTGCTGAAGCACACGCAGATCTGACTGCACACACACACACACGATCTTGTGATGTTTGTCTATTGTTCAAACATACCTCGTCATCCCTTTCTGTGCCCCTCTTCAGACTCCTCACCCACAGGGAACCTGACCAATAGCATAAGCCCAGGGCACAAACTGTGTCAGGGGTCAACCCTGTGTCTGGGTTTTGGGACAGAAAGCCAAATCCCAGTGACTGGGGACAGGCCAACTCACCCTAGACCACTCAACGATACAATCCAGGCAGAAGTAGTGGGCACAGGTCTCTGGTGTGCCAACAGCCTGGTCTCGGAACACATTGAGACAAATCGGGCAGCTTTCTGCGTCTTCATCAGAAGTAAGGGCACCGCTGGCTTCCGGCCTCCCCCAAGAGTCTTCAGCTGCCTCTACAGTTTCTACTTCATCTTCAGAATCATCATAACCTGGAAGAAGTGTTATAGCTTTCATGCAACACAGGACTGGCTCTGTGAAAGGGAGCACTGGCCACAAACAGGCCTCTATTCAGTCACAGTTCCTTGTGTGACCAACCCCCCAGGCCACCAAAAAGGCCAGGTCCTGAGAGCTCTCCCATTACCCCAAGCCTCCTCAACAGCAGTCTCTGGGCTAGAGACCCCAGACTGCCATGCATGGAGTGTGCCTCTCAGGACAGCCCTGCACAGCCACAGGGGTCTCTGATATTTCTTTGTGACCACCAATCGTGTGCTTCACATGACATCTTCCTGGGCTTCCTTTTCCCTGTGGTATTCACATTCTTAAGTGGGCCATTGACTACAACAGATACGAGTAATTTTTTTAATCCGTTATTATTAGTACCTACTAATTTTATAAATTTTGGAAAAATAAAAATAAAATAAAATATTGGGTTTCCATATGGTATTTTCAAACATGCCTAATGGCATGTTTTGACCCTATCTATCCTTCTACCTCCTCCACCCTTTCCCCTATGTGCATTTCTTCTTTTCTAATAATAGTCTCCCTTCTATTTTCAGGTCCTCTAAAAGAAAAACAGTTCAACATACTACGGAGATATGAGCAACTTCTGAGCATTCTGGCTGGGGCCTGGCCAGGAGGAATAAGATCTTTCCAGTGGACACAATGTTAGCACACATTCATCATCCTTTCCTTCGCAATTCACGAAACAGCACCGATACAAAGGACCTAAGTCTTGTGGACCAGAGAAGCATTTTCCTGGACTCTACCGTATGGGAGGCACAGTGGCAGTGCCAGATGACCTTCTCCAGGCCGTGCTGCTACCTGCAAAAGGCAGGAGTCATCCCTGCCACCCACCCAATCCCACCAGGTGATTCTTTCAAAACAGAGCTTCTCCAGTGGCATGTAGAGAGACGTCAGAGAGGCATGTCCTGCCAGGACAGCCAGCCAACTAGAGCTGAGGGTGGCCTTGTTGATGCTGACTGGAAAACAGGTGCTTTAGTACCTCAACCAAGGACCCTGAATAGGTGGAGCTTAGAGGAGGTCTTGGCTCAAAGGAAGTACAGCTTCCCCGGCACCCTGAAGATCCTGGCAAGACCTCAGCAGGACTCAGATGATTTGTCCTCTGGTTCCAGCCCCTGAAACAGCAGGGCGGTACATGTAGTAACGCTATAGGGTCTGGGGTGACTTGTTACACAGTGAGAAAAAAATTTGCAAGATAAACTGAGAGAGCCCTGAAGATGCCAAGGAGGTAGCCAAATGGCAACTCACTGCACTTTCCTATCTGACTGAAAAAGGGTCCGCAGAGTACAGGAGACACCAGATGACCTGATTCTTCCTATGGCAAATAAAAGGCAGACCAGAGTCCCAGGTCACCTGCATTCCATGTAGTGCTGTGGGCAGAGAAATCCTGGAAGGATAAGGACCCTGAGCAGAGTGGAGGTGGCAGATGAAGACAAGTGAGCAAGGTCAAAGTAGGACCCCTGCTCTACCCTGGACAAGAGAGTCCACACCTAAAAAGACATGACCTAGGCTGGCCCCACCAGGGCAGCCTGTGGTGGCCAAGGGCAGGCCACACAGTGACTACTCTGAAAAGAGACAAAGAAGAGCACTGGACACAAGCATAGAGAGCAGTACCTCCTACTGCCTTGGGATGGATATGGTGGGAGACATGAGAATGCTCAGGGAGCAGTGAGAAACCTACTCAAGTTGAGAACATAGCAGCAGACACAGTACAGCACAGGCCTGGGAAGACACACCAGGGAAGAAAAAGCAGCAGAGAGGCCCTCTGAGAAACTCCTCTGCAACTCTTTTTTTTTTTGCGGAACCGGGGATTGAACTCAGATCCTTGCGTTTGCCCGTCAAGCGCTTATCCTACTGAGCCATCTCCCCGGCCCCTCCTCTCCAACTCTTGAGTAGTCTCAACCAGCTGCTGAGGCACTGGGACTGGAGAATACAAGTGCAGAACTCCCAGTGCCTTCCCACCTCCTTCTTCCCATACCTGGCAAACTCTGGGTCTCTGTGCCACCTGTCCCTCAGGAATACTCCACCCTGACTTTTTTATGAGCAGAATATATTTATTGAGATAAAGAAAGCTCCTGTCCCGAGCGGTTAGTTCCCTCTACCCTGACATTTCGGGGGGTTTTTGTTTTGTTTTTGGTGGAACTGGAGATTAAACTCATGCCCTTACGCTTGCCAGGGAAGTGCTTATTCCACTGAACCATCTCCCCGGCCCCTACCCTGACATTTTGTTCATCACCTAGCCAACACCTGTTCTTTAGGCTGTGGCCCAAACAGCTGTGGGTTTTTTGTTGTTGTGGTTTTGTTTGGGGGTGGCTTTGGTACTGAAAATCAGCCTCAGGACCTTCCTGGGCAGGTGCTGTGCTGCTGAGCTGCACACCTAGCCCCTCACCCTTTCTCTGGGAGTAAAGGTCCAACCCAGCCAAACTGGTCTGGAAATCTTACCAGATCCATCCTCCAGGTCCTCCTCCTCCTCAGACGGCCCCTCCTCAATCTCTTCATCTGTTTCCTCTCCATGCTCACTGCCTGTGTCTTCCTCAGAGTCTCTGCTCTGACCATCGTTGTTCTCTTCTAAAACACCAGGGATAAAAGCACAGGCCTCAGGCACAGTATGACAACTCGGACCCCTGCCAAAGGCTACCACAACACCCAGGACTGGCAAGGTGGAGTTCCAGGGAAAAGAGAGCTTTAAACCTTCATTTGTGTTACCTGCATTAAAACTAAGACAAGGCTTAGTAACTAAGTATAGCAAGTGCCTAGGGTCTCAGCTACTTGGGGAAACCGAGGGGACAAGACCGCTTGAATTCAGAATTATGAGCCCAGGATGGACAGCATAAAGAAGCTGAAAGAGCTGCTTAGGCAGAGTGCAGTGCCCAGGGTTCAATCCCCGCATGCCCGTGCTGTGCCAGCCCTGCCTTCCAGGTGTACAGAGAAGGCAATTGAGACTGGGTGTGGTGGCAAGCACCTGTAAACCCAGCACTTGGGAAGCTGAAAACAGGAGAATTACTACAAGTCCAATCTGTGTAATGAGACCCTGCACTAAAAATACAAAAAAAAAAAAAAAAAAAAAAAGAGAGAAGCTGAAAGAGTAAATAAGATCCAAAATGCAGGGGGATAGGGATGTGGCTCAGTGGTACGGCTCTTGCCTTGCATGCACAAGGCTCTGGGTTGAATCTCTTGCACCACCAAAACCAAAAGAAAGAAGAAAGGTCTCTGAGTAAGGGAAATAACACAAGAACAGAGTAAACTTGAAATACAAAAAGTATGAATAATTAAGATTAGCAGCATGAGGTTCACTGTAGAAATTGGTATAGACTACTCAAAAAACTGGATTGGCAGGCTGGGGAGATGGCTGAGTGGAATAAGCGCTTCCCTGGCAAGCGCAAGGACCTGAGTTCAATCCCTGGTTCCGAAAAAAAAAAGAAAAAACTGGATTAGCTTGGGCAACAGAGACAGCCCACCAGTCTAAGCGCCTGCCTGGCAAGCACAAGAGCCTGAATTCAATCCCTGGTACCTCCCCCCACAAAAAATGGCAGCATTACTCAGCCACAAAACAAAAAAAAAAAAAGAAAAAGAAAAATCCAAAATGTACAATATAGGCCAGGGAAATGGCTCAGTGGAATAAGTGCTTCCCTGGCAAGCACAAGGACCTGAGTTCAATTCCCGGTTCCGTCAAAAACAAAACAAAACAAAACAAAACAAAATGTACAATATATATTGTAAAAATGGGAAGAAACTGTTCAAAAGGAAAGAGAAACTGCGACTGGGAAAAGGAAAAAAGGGAAAAGCAAAAATGTATGTGCATATACACTACATTTCTCTTAGTTCATTGAAAAGAAAGGTTTTGGCATTTATTTATTATGTATTTAGTACAGCATCTACAGAGTCTCACTACACAGATTGGACTTGTGATTCTGTTTTCAGCATCCCAAGTGCTAGGATTACAGGTACACACCACCACGCCCAGTCTCAGCCACCATCTCAGCACGTGGGGGGGTGGGATGCTAGGGATCAAACCCCAGTCCCTGAGCCTGCCTAAGCAGGTATATTAGTCCACTGAGCTATCTGGCTGGCTGGTTTGTAATAATATTGTTTGGACACTTAAACGCTGATATCTTGATACTCTGAGTAACTAAAGACAACAGCATGCAATATATTATTCCATTGTTATTCTCCTATTTTCTTTCATACTAGGGATCAAACTCAGGACACTGAACTTTCTAGGCTAGCACTTATGCCACTGAGTTATCTCCCCAGCCTACTCTATTATCTTTTGAAAAAAACAATTTTTTTTTTTAACGTACTTGGTACAGGGTCTCACTACGCAGCTTGGATTCTGTTTTCAGCCTCCCCAGCCCTGGGATTACAGGTATGTGCAGCCAGCTCAGGGTGCCCAGGGGTGGGGCTGTGGCAGCCTATGGTGCCAGGAATTGAATGCTGGTCCCTGTGCTTGCCTAGGCAGGGACTTAGTCCCCTAAGCTATCTCGCCGACATGAAATTTTTGGTTTTTTTTCTCTTTAAAATTAAAAAACAAAGGCTGGAGGGATAGCTCAGAGGTCTAAATCGCCTGCTTAGGCAAGCTTAGATAAGCATAGGGACTGCAATTTCATCCCTGGCACCACATGCCATGCCAGTTCCCACCTCAGGCTGGGCTGAGCTGGCCACACACACACACATACACACACACACACTTTTTTTTGAAAGGTTCAAAGCTGAAAACTGGGGCCAAGGAGATGGCCCAGTAGAATAAGAGCTTCCCTGGCAAGCACAAGGGTCTGAGTTCAATCCCTGGTTCGGGGAGGAGGTGGGCTGAATCAAACTGATATCTCTAAAGGGTGGCAGAAAACACAAGGTGCTCTTGCTCTTCCAGGGGCCTCTCCCAGCACCAGGAAGCTCACCAGAACTGCTGGCCAGGTCTGCAGACCCAACTTGGGGGCATCCATCAGTCCCTGGACTTTGGGCCACAAGCTCATTCAGGTTGTCATCATCCATTGATGCACATTGGAGTTCAGCCCTGAAAGAGAACAGGGCCAAGTAATTCCCCACTGCACCAAGCTGCAGAAACCCTGAAAGAATATGAGTCACTCCCACATCACATCCCTGGTGCCAGGAGTATTTCTGCACAAGGAGAGATCAAGCTGTTAGACAACATACACAGTGCAATGCTAACCATACAGAGGGGGCCAGGGAGATGGCTCAGTAGAATAAGCGCTTCCCTGGCAAACACAACGGCCTGAGTTCAATCCCCGGTTCTGCAAAAAAAAAAAACATACAGAGGAAGACATGCATAGAACCACACACAAAGCTAGACCCCAGCTCCTGAGAACTAGTGACGCTTCTGTGCAAGTTGTCTGAGGAATAAAAAGAACTTATCCTGACAGGTGTGGAGATGGCATGCCTGTAACCCTAGCACTTGAGAAGCTGAGGAAGAATTGCTTTGATGAGTTTGAGGCCAGTTTGAACTACATATCGAGGTCCTATCTCAAAAAAAAATTTTTTTTTTTAAATCATCCTAGCTGTTCAGAGAAATGTTTCTCAACTGAAGACTGGCCGTGAAAAGGGTCCACCCAGGCTGACTACTCTCAGGAGCCTGTGAGGCTCAGCCCCGGTTCCTGGGGTGCTGTCCATCATGTGCCTGTGGAGCCCCATGATGCCTGGGCTTGGGGACAGAAGAGGAAGACACTGGACTACACTTCTCCTGACTTGTCAGTGGGACTTGCCATGGGCCACTGTAAGGATAACATGGACCACCTGTATAAACAGCTTCAGAATGCTGTCCCATTGACCCTCCTTTGTCTATATGGGGGCCATATAGACTCAGTGCTGCTACCTCCTTTCCTGGTAGCCCATGGAGGAAGCATCTTTCATGAGGAATGTGTTAAGAAAACCTCCTACAAACTCTCTTCTCTGATGAGGACAGGGCCAACATGAAGACAGGACAGCCCTACCCTAAGGGGACAAGGCACTTCAGACCTCTAGATTCTGGCTGTTTTCTGAATACTGAGGGTATGTTCACTTGAGGAAACTGTCAATGGTAGTACATCCACACTACCTGGAAATAACACACTGAGAAATACCTTTACCCAATCACTTAACTTCCTCCGTCTGCTGCTCTACGACTAAGATAACTGGCCAGACTGGGCGTGGTGGCGTGTGCCTGTAATTCCAGCACTTGGGAGGCTGAAAATAAGAGAATCACTATAAGCCAGATCTGTGTAGTGAGATCTTGTAGACCCTGTGCTAATTACATTAAAAAATATATACAAATAAAAAGATAACTGGCCATAAATTCCCACTTAATGAAGAGGCTATAATACATTCTGCTGTTTGGTGAACTCACTTAGCAGTGAGTCTGGACCACAGACCACTGCTGAAAATACCAACTCTGGCAGAAGTACAGGGGACAGCACCATAGTCCATCTAGAAAAGGACATCTTTCTTGTGGGGCACACTGAAATGAGACTCAGCCACAGCCACTGCTCGGATAAGAGAACATATACTCTCTGGCCAAAGCAGTGGCTCTCCCCATCAGAACCCAATGTCATCTGGGGTTCCTGCTCCCCAGGGCCTACCCTGCCATGACTTGGGCAGCACAACGGGAACAGTCTCCAATAGTCTCAAGTGCACCAAGAACCAGGACACATAACTGCTAATACCTAGGGAATGACAGAGCAAAGCTGGGTTGGTTTGGAGGTGTGATGTCCAAGAGCAAATCCTCACTGTGAGGACAAGATTCACAAACACATAAAATATGAACAATGCCCAGCTTCTCCCTTGACAGGTGCACTGTGATAGAGGGCCACAGAAAGGGCAGCACAAGGCCTGCTCAGAAGACTGCCTGGTAGGACCATAGAGGGGATACACTCAGAACAAATGCCAGCTGAGGCCTCCACCTCGATTAAATCCTGAGGGTCCTGTAACACATGGCAATGAACGCCCTCTGAAAGGCCCCCAGCAACCAACCACAGCAGTGGACAGTTAGACTGAGCCACTCCTCTCTCGGAACCATCACACAATACAACCCCCAGCACCAACTTGCCAGAGAGGTGAAAGAGATGCGCTAACCACCAGAGATACTTACCGGGCAGCAGCAGGAACAAGACCACGACTTGGCGTCCCAGCCTCCTCTACCCCACCAGGACCCCCAGCCCAGAACTTCCTGGTTCCATCAGCAGCCATAGCTTGGGCTCCCTTTCTATCACATAGCCCAACCAGGGAGCCCTTTCTTCTGCTGACTGCCCTGGGCAGTGCAAACCCCAGGTGGGTGGGTGTCATGGCTCTCTCGTTCAGCCTCCAGGTTTTCACAAGTTATGGAAGAAAAGAAAGAAAACCAGAAAGACTATTTGACTCTTCAAATTTAGGGGAGGCTGAGCATTGGGGCACAGGCCTGCAATTCCAGCACTTGGGAAGCTGAACTAGGGCTGCTGAGTTTCAGGCCAGCATGGGCTACATAGTGATTTCAAGACTAGCAACGGCATAGTGAGACCCTGTCTCAAAAAACAAACAAAACAAATTCAGGGGAAGCACTGCACTTGCAAAGAAACTCAAGGGCCTCTGAGGTGTAAGAGCTGAATGTGTGCAAGCAGAGCCTGGGTGGCCCTCAGAACGCTGAGCAAGCCTGCAGCAAGTCCAGCTTTGTCCATTCTTCGCCTGCTCTAAGACACAAAAACTGTAAATGAACACGGAAGTTAACACCAAGACCCACCAAGGTCCCCTCGGCTGTGGCCGTGACACCAAGCCACAGTGCTGCTGCGAGGGCCACAGCTTCTCCACCGGGAAAAGCCGGGCACCAAAAGGTGTTGATACTTAACTGTCACAAGGCAGGGTCCACCTCGGCACACAACCTGGCCCAGTCACCAGGGGCCAGATCTTGGCTCCCCGACAGACGTGCGTTCCGTGCTGCAGTAACAAGAAGAGTTCATGGTGACGCTGTAGCACAGCCTCCTTAGAGAGGACGACAGAGAACGGGGGAGGACTCGCCACCCGCCGCCCCAGGACAGCTTCTCGACCTCTCTGGCGCCGACGTCGCCGAGGACACAGACGCGCCCCCTGCTCCCGACCCGTGTAGACGCCAAGCTTGAACCAGGAAAGCCGCGCCGCTCCTGCAGACCCTGCGGCCGCACACGCAACGGCCCGAAGCGGATCTGAGGGCTGGGACGAGGCCTGTGGCCTGCCGTCCGCCTCGGTCCTGCGCCGCGCAGGCCGCGCCCGCCGTAGTTTCAGACAAAGCGCGAGGTACCCTCGGGCAGCCCGAAGGCCCGAGCGCTCGGGACCGGGCCCCCTACGTACCCGGGAACTTCCCGCCGCCCGGAAGCTTCGCGGGCCTCAGCCGCCGCCCGAGCGACACCGCGACTAGGCCCGGCCGCCACCTCCACCGCGCCGCCGTCGCCTCGCGCTCCCCGACCCGGAAGTGCTCAGCCCTGCTTCCGGGGCCCTGCGCCCCCCCCCCCGCGTCGGCGCAAACCACTGTGCCGCTGGGGTGGGGGAGAACGCTTGCCAGGGGCTGGGGAACGCTATCCGCCCCGCGAATGCTGACCGAGGCAGAGTTCTTCCAGAGGAGACCAGAAATTACTTGGAATAATTTCTGCTGACGTCCCTCTGTTGTGCTAGGCCAACACACACCCTCGTCCGGGCAGGTGGCGCAGCTCCAAATCCGCCCGCCGACTAGAGCGAATGGGAGCGGCCGAGGCGCGTGAGGCTCGGCTGCAGCCCGCCCGCGGCGACCCCTTCGTCCGCTCCCGTGGCCACGCCTTCTTCTGTGCCTGCTCCGGGCGTTCCGGCTCAGCGTCGTGGGGCCGAGGCGCATGGATCGAGCGTTCAGCTGTACTGGCGGCAGCTTTGTGCCAGCATTTCCTGGAAGGAGCATCCATAGGGCCTCATGGACCTTGGGTGGGGCCCTTTGGGGACTGGGCAGAAAACGAGCCTTCGTTTTAGACCTCTCAGCCCAGCGCGGCGAAAAAGAAAAAGCCTGAACACTGTAGAGACCTCAGCTGCCTGTAATCCTAACCCTCAGGAGGCTGAGGCAGAAAGATCAACGCGAGTTTCAGGCCAGCCAGCGATGTATATTAAGTTTAAGGCCCTCCAAAGCTACAAAAATGAGGTCTTGTCCGTGAAAATATTTTTTAAAATAAACAGTATAGCTAGGTGTGGTGGCATACGCCTGTAATCCCAGCACTGTGGAGGCCGAGATAGGAGGATTGCTGTAAATTCCAGGCCAGCCTGGGCTACAGAATAAATTCAAGGGCCAGGGAGATGGCTCAGTGGAATAAGCGCTTCCCTGGCAAGCGCAAGGGCCTGAGTTCAATGCCCGGTTCCACCAAAAAAAAAAAAAAAAAAAAGAATTCAAGCCACCCTAAATTGCATAGTGAGACCCTGTCTCAAAAAGAAAAAAAAAAAATCAAATCGATGTGGGCCAGGCATGGTGGTGCATACCTGTGATCCCAGCCCTTGGGAGTGTGAGGCAGGTGGATTATCCCAAGTTCAAGGCCAGCCTTAATTACATAACTAGACCATCTGAAAAAAACAAAAATATAGGCAGGCCAGATAACTCGGGATTAAAGTGGCAGGGATTGAGGTTTGTTACCCGGTGTGCTGTTCCAGCCCTGCCCAGTGATTGAGACTGGGCATGGTGGCATGCACCTATAATCCCAGTGCTTGGGAGGCTGAAAACAGGAGGATCACTGCGGGTCTGATCTGTGTAATGAGACCCTGTAAACCCTATACTAAATACATAAACACAAAAACAAAAAAAAATCATTATGGGGAAAAATGTGGCATGGGAGAAGGCAATCCTTGCTTCAACAAAAAGACAGGCTAGGTTCATGCTGCAGCGCGGCAGACTTCTACTGCTGGCATGGACAAGGCTTTGGGTTCCACTCCAGTGCCAAAAACAAAAAAAAATAAGTAGAAGCTGAGTACTGGGCAGTGTTGATGAAGCACTGAGAAGGAAGTGAGGGCAGACAATGGGGAGATAACTCAGTAGAGTAAGTGCTTGCCTGGCAAGCACAAGGTCCTGAGTTCAATCCCCCACACCTCAAAAAAAAAAAAAAAGAAGTGAAGGCAGGGCTCCTGAAGGGCTGGTGCTGGCTCAACAGACCTCTTTTTGTTGTTGTTGTTGTTGTTGTTGTTGTTGTTGTTGTTGTTATATTTTAGGGCAGGGCCTACAGGGTATTCAACATCTCACTACTAGATCAGACTCATAGTGATCTGCCTGTTTACAGCCTCCCAAGAGCTGGAATTACAGGCACATGCCACCATGCCCAGTCTCAATTGCCATTTCAGCATGCCCCAGGGCCGAGGCCAGCACAGCAGCAACAGACCTCTTTCATGTGTAGCAGTCAGGCCAGGAGAGCAAGGTAGATATGGGAGGCAGCTGGCAGGACATGACGAGTGGTTGGTTGTGGATGCCATGGAAGACAAAGGACAAAAATGACACAATGGGAAAAGGAGGGGAATGGCTGTGTGTTGTGGAGCCCTAGGGACTGGACAGGCTAAAGGAGGTGTTCAGAGGCAGGGTGCATGGAGGTAGGACCAGCTCCTGAATCCCAGACCTCAACAGTGAAGAGGTTTGGAATCTTCAAAGGAAGATAAAAAAAGGAACTGGAAAGTGCTACAAAGAGGGGCTAGAACAGAATCAGAACAAGAGGAGATTTACCGTTGGAAACCTAAGGAGGCAGGTGCATCCACCAGGAGAGTAAGGTAGGGTCCGCTGGGGCCCCAGACAGCACCGCTGGCCCCGGGGGAGTGTAGAGAAAATGGGAACCCTAAGTAGGTGCTGAGACAGCCATACCTTTTCCTGGAAAGAGATGGGAAAGTGGAGGAACCACAGAACATAGCCTAGAGTGCTGTTTCTTCTGCTTGTAATGGGGGAAGCATCAGAAAGAAAGGTTGGTCCTACAAGGGGACTCTGGAGTATGTCCCTTCCTCTCCTTAACTTTTTTTTTTCCTTTACCAGGGATTGAATTTAGGACTTTGTGCTTGCCAGGCAGGTGCTTATGCCTCTGAGCTATATCCCTGGCCCGTCCCTTTTCTCCATGAGCCAGACAACAGGATCTGGATGGCAAGTAGCTCTGGCACCAGCCAAACACCTTGAGTGGCAATTGTATGGCCTGAATGAGTTCCTTGCCCTTGCTAGGCATCAGCGTATTTGGCTGCAAAGTGCAGCCGAATGTTAACCTTCAACAAAAAGAAAGGCTAGGCTGCCGCTACAGCATGGCAGACTTCTCTTGCTGGCATGGACAAGGCTTTGGGTTCCACGCAAATACAATTGCCATTCAAATGTTAACCTGCTTCTTGGCTCATGGTGAGCACAGAGAGCATCTAGTGGAGTTCAGCATGGTGGTAAAGAAGGCCTGGGGTACTGCCCCATAACCTGCCAAGGCACCTGTTCATCTCTGCTTGGAACTCGACAGAAGCACATGTTCCTGCCTGCTGAGGGCTGTTAAACATGGGAGCCTGTGCAGGCACATCTGCAGGGTCCTGAGGCGGAGAAGATCCAACAGCCTGTGGTCAGTGTGAGGAGGCTGTCCCGCTCCCCCACGGCTTCCTCATGCGCCCTGCTGAAGGAGGTATCAGAGCAAATACATGCAGGATAGGGTACAAAGGACACTTCCTTGAGAAATCCTCAGGCAGTTTACAGTTTACCCGCATTTAGGTGTGCAAAGTGACCCCAGAGACCTGCCTGGGGTCAGACTGAGCCCAAACTAGCACAGGTAGCACAGCTTCTTGAGAATGTGGGCACACTGATACCTCCTGCCTTTGCTTACTTACCCATGTGCAGCCCACATGGGCTCACACACTGTCCCATATATAACTCCATCTGCACTGTCACACCCATGCATACACACAACTCCTACTCACACAGCCTTGTACCTGTACCCGGAGGCCCTTTTGGGTCTCTGGTCTGTGCTGGCATACACTGCAGGGTAGAGCTACCCCACCCAGCCCCTCTACCTACACACACACAGTCCTCCATCACCCATCCCTAGGCAGGGAACCCAGAGCCAGGTGGATGGTGGAGGAAAGAGGCTGAAGCATGGGCAGGGAAAGAGGTGAGCAGGGTGAAAACTGGGGAGCTGAAGCTCACAGAGCTGGAGGAAGGGACAGGCCAGCCAAACTGGTCTCTCAAACCAGCGGAGGCAGGTACAGCATATGTCCTCTTATTACAAAAGGGGTAGCTTAAAACAGATACTTATTCTCATGTTGTCTGGGAGGCTAGGAGTCTGAGGTCAAAACTGGCAGGGCCATACTCTCAGAGTCCCTGGAGAAAATGCCAGGCATTCTTGGCTTTCAGCCACAGCACTCTGACCTCTGCCTCTGTCTTCTCTGTTTGTCTGTCTTCTGTCACTTATCAGGGTCTTTCACAAAATCATCTGCAAAGACACTTTTCTCCTGTAAAGTCATATTCACAGGTCCTAGATGTTAGCATATGGACGGACTTATCTTTTTTGGAAATTTTTTTTTACCAGGAATCAAACTCACAATCTCATGCTTTCTAGGCAGGTAAGCTGAGCTATATCCCCAGGCCTATACGGACATATCTTTGGGAGGCAACATTCAACCCACTACAGAGTGAGAAGCAGTACACTGACAGGACTCAGAGAATAGGTGGGGTAATGCCAGGAGGGAAAGGAAGAGCCCAGCCTCTCCCTGTCTGCTGACCCCTGACTTCTTCCAACTGAGCCTGTGCCCTGACCTCAAGATTTGGGCCTTCACCAGGATCTTAACAGTTTTAATTGGTTCCTTCAAGACCCACATCAGCTGGGCCTGGTGATACACAGTTCCATCCTGGATCTATGGGAGGCTGAGGCAAGAGGATTGCAAGTTTGAACCCAACTTTGGCAATTTAGTGACTTATCAGGATCTTGTCTCAAAAATTTTTAAAAAGGGTTGGGGAGGGGCCAGGGAGGTGACTCAGTGGAATAAGCGCTTCCCTGGCAAGCACAAGGGCCTGAATTCAATCCCCGGTTCTGCCAAAAAAAGAAAAAAAAAAAAAGGTTGGGGACAGGAATGGTAGCGAACGCCTGTAATCCCAGCACTCTGGAGGCTAAGGCAAGAGGGTCACTGGGAGTTCAAGGTCAGCCTGGACTAATAGTGAGTTCAATGCTAGCCTGAACTGACCCCGTTTCAAAAGAAACAAAAACAAGCACCAAATACAAATTCTCTATGATGAATGTCACCATTATGGTGACCATTATGTATACCTAAAATGTACCAATAAAATCTGATTGGAACAAAAACAACAAAAAAACCCCAAGTAAATAGATCAATAAAATAAGGCCTGGGTGGGGCCGGGGAGATGGCTCAGTGTTAAGTGCTTCCCTGGCAGGTGCAAGGGCCTGCGTTCCATCCCTGGTTCCTCCAAAATAAATAAATAAATAAAATAAAATAAGGCCTGGATCCAGTCCAATCCCCAGTGACACATTCAACCCAGATCTTGCTGAGCTCTCAGGTTCTCACTGTCAGTGGAACTGGGATGGCTCCTGCATCTGCTGTGTTCCTTTGCCTGTACCTCACACCTCTGCACTTTTGTACCCAGCGACAGGCCTTCCTGGGGTCCTAGAGTTCAGCTGCTTGGTTGTTTGGGGTACCTGGCACGCTCCAGCCCAGCCTGTGTGGAGGCTGTACACTGGGAGGCGGCAGGGATATGGGGGACAGCGTTTAGGAACATAGCCAAAGGAGTACAGCTAAGGGTAGTGGCTGAAGCTGAGGTGGCCAGGATGCTGCTGGAGCAGAGAGGATCTGAGTGAGTGAAGTTCTGGTTGGTGCAAGGGGAGCACAAACAACTATGAGTAAGGAGTGCAGGAACCCTCCTGTCTGATGAGGGGCCGACGCCACTTGATGCGGGCCACCCGGGCCACAGGGGCCGGGAGTCAGTCTGCTGTCTGTGGCGCTGGTCCGTTTGCTAAGGCGACAGTTGGCTCCCTAGAGTGAGTGTTTCAGGTGCCCAAACGGTGATTCCGCACGACAGGTTCAAGCCCGGAGCGGCGCGGCGCGACTCGACGCCCTTTGCTCAGGCTCCTGCTTCAGAGGCATGCGACGAGGACCCCAAGGAGCTGCAGCTGGGAGGTCAGTGATGCCCTCGCGTCCGGGGCACTCGCCGCCGTCCGTGGCACTCGCCACTCGCCGGACTACGTGCAGTCCTGCGGCCCTGGTGAGAAAGAGGGCGTGGCCAGGCTGGGGGCAGGGCCGGGGTGGCGGGCGGTACCACCGCGCCGGGCGCCTGGGCCGTACCACCATCCGGCCCCGGGGGTCGCCGCCAGGGAGGGCGCCCCGCAAGCCCCGCCTGGCAGGTGGTGGCCCCTCCCCAGGCCGACGTGCAGAAAAGAACGCGCTGGCGGAGACCGCGAGGGGGGCCGCGCGGCAGTGGGCGGGGCACGCCCCCCCATCGCACCCACTGGTTGCGGTGTGGCAGGGCGGGCCCGGCTCACCACCCCATTGGTTGCCGTTCTGGTCGTTTGCATACTAGGTGGGACTGCGGGGGGCCCGCCAGGGACGGGACTCGGGCGCGAGGCTTGCCTCTGTTGCAGCTGAAGTTGGTCCGAGAACCTGGTACTGCCCGGCGCCGGGGTCTCAGGTGACGCGCAGGGATCGGAGGCTGGCGGGTGGGGCGCACTTTGGAAGCCGCCCGGCTGAGGGGGAGGCGGGTGGGCAGGGGCGGTGTGGCTTGGACGCCCAAATTGGGGGGGCGACCCCTTCACCACCCGCCTGCCCGCAGGGCAGCCCCTCCAGGCGCAGGGCAGCCACTGCCCACCGCACACTGCGCTGCTCCCAACCCACTGTGCGTGTGACAGCGGCTGATCTGTCCCTGGGCAGCGCCAGCCCTTAGCCTCTCGGTGGCCCTGGTCTGGCCGGCAGGCCGCTGGCCACACTGAGTGAAGGGCGCCCGCAAGCCTGGGAGGGCACTGCCCCGTGGGTAGGCCTGCCGAAGCCGGGGTTGGGGGGGAGACACTAGGGAATCCTCTGCCTTCCACGTGGGAGGACTGAGGCAGGGCCAGGTACCCTCTTGGAGGGAACTTTGTTCTTGTGTGCTTCAAGGTTCCAGGCTGTGCAGAGCCCCCAGGACCACCTCGAGGTGACCCAGGAAGACGTCCACTACTTTATCTCTTCTCCATTTCTGCCACTTCTTACAAGCAGTCAGGACAGTGGGCCTGTTGATGGTGTCCAGGAAAGGCTCCACGCAGAAGTCCGCCATGGAAATGTGGACAAGAAGTATGTTCAGAACAGGTCCTAAAAGGCTGAACACCTGCAGCAGCCCCTATCCCCTCTGGGCAGGGCAGGTCTGGTCCCTGTAGAGGGAGGGCTAGTACTCTAGAGGGACCCTTTGCGATTATCACCACAGGAGTCATCTTGCAGATGAAGGGAGGTTATGTGGCCTTGGGGCTGAGAACCTGCAAAACTTACTCCCTGTAGCCACTTTCCGTGGATGATCCTCAGTGAACAGGGCTCTCACTTCAGCTGAATATGAACAGGAACCACAAGAGAACCATCCACAGCACAGCCTAGGCTCATCTGGCTGGGCTGCCTGATGGGGAGGATGATGGTGACTGGCCCACACCAAACACCCGCAGGGTCCCATCACAGCCTCACCAGGGAAGGTGACCTGCTTTTCAGGGGACTGTGAGAGCTCAGAATCTCATTTCACATAGCTCACACTATTGTCTTCAAAATAAAATTTAAAACTCAAAAGTAAACTTTGCAGTTGAAGTTTTGCTTCATGACCTGAAGCACTCTGGGAACTTTGTGTGTATGTGTGTGTGGGAAGCATGGGGCTTTTTCATCCTGGAACAATTGTGTCAGCAAAGAGCTCTACCCCGCCCCACTAGAGTACAGTACCACTGGGAAGCTTTTTCAGAGCCTGGAAAACCCGTACACGGTGGCTTCAGAACAAATAGGTGTCTCTTAGGAGACAGGCAAGGCTAGGGATATAGATCAGTGGCATAGCACCTGCCTGGCAAGCACATGGTCCCGAGTTTGACTCCCAGTTTAAAAAAAATGAAAAAAGACAGGCAGTGTGTGGTGTATACTGGCTTGTGAACACAGGAGCTCAGATATGGAGTCCATGGTCTGGGGCCCCTGGCCCACTCTATAGTAGGGCTTCTGGGTGGCACCAGTCATGGCCATGCGGGCCTATGCCCTTAGCTGGGTCAGGGCTAGTTCCCAGAGGTGTATCCAGTCCTCCTGAGTGTGGGCAAGGAGTGTGGTGAGGGTAGCAGACCCCTAGGTCCCAGCCCTCCCACCTGGGGTGGTATAGGGAACTCTTTGGTCCTCATATTGGTCCAGGAAGTTTATATTTGTAATTCCATGGATAAATTATTGGAATCCCATCAAATTAATTTTATTTTATTTTATTATTTATTTTACATTTATTTGTGTGTGTGTGTGTGTGTGTGTGTGTGGCCAGCTCAGCCC